CAACGGGGCCGCGAAGGGGCCGCGAGGGGCCTGAAGGGGCCGCGAAGGGCCGTGAGAGGGGCCGTGAGGGGGCCGTAAGAGGGCGCGACGGGCCGCTAAGGGCAGGGGACGCGACGGGAGGGTAGGCACGCACGGCACGACTCGGGCGGGAGCGAAGCTCGCTCCGGGCAGGAAAAAAAAAATATCGATTTTCAGTGGTGGGCCCTAGGAACGTTCCCACTAGGGAACCTGCTCTATACCATGTGAAAATTATGAGGAATGAGTGCACTAGGAAACAGGTGGGTACAAGTAGGAAAACCTAAAAGTGTTTGTGAGAATGAACGAGAGAATGGGAATGGTGTTCACTATAGCACTAGGGTACATATAGCAAACAGAGCATGCAAAGAAGGTGCACCACCAACAGTTTATAATAACTACACTAAACTACAGCTACAGGCAGTTACAGATATATTCTAACACTCCCCCATAACTGCCTGCAGCAGGAGTTTGTGCAGAACACAACCTGCAGGGGTACACAAGCAACAACAACAGCAGGCACGGTAACAGAGCAGGTACAGCAGCAAAGGGACAGGCGACAGCAAGACACTCCTGCCACCCCTTTACTCTCCTCCCCCCCGACCACAGGAGGGGCAGCACGGAGAGAGAGGAGGCGGGCTGGCTCTGGCTGGTCACCCCCTCCATCCCCTCACCCTCCCCCTCCCCCTCCCCCCCACACTGCTGCAGGAGCAGCAGAGGGGGGAAGAGAGGAGAGGTGGCGGGACGGCTGCTGGTTGGTCTCACACCCGCCACCCCAGTGCCACTCCCCCGGCTCCCCCACACCCTCACATCCTCCCCCCCAGCGGCAGCTGCAGCAGTGGGAACGAAAGGAGGAGGAGGGGAAGGGGAGACCACACACCCGCCACCCCCACGCCCGCCACCCCCTACTCGCCACCCCCAAACCCTAACACAGGGCAGGGCGGGATGGCGGGTAGGGAGGTTACGGGGGGGGGGGGGGGGGGGGGGAAGGGGGGGGGGCCGACGCGCGGCCTCCCAGGGCGCCAAAGCAGGCGGCAGAAGGGGCGACGCTCGCCCCCCCCCCCCACGCGGCCCCCTCAGGTCGCCTCGACAGGCGACGGGAAAAGAGGGGGGGGCGGTGCACGTGCCCCCGGTGCGCCGCGACAGGCGACGGAGCATGGCCGGGGCGGGGCCGGGGCAGGGTCGAGGCAGGGCCGAAAGGGGAAGCGACGGGGCCGAAAGGGGCGGCGACGGGGCCGCTGGAGGCGGCGACGGGGCCGATAGGGGCGGCGACGGGGCCGCGAAGGGGGCCGCGAGGGGCCTGAAAGGTCGGCGACGGGGCCGCGAGGGGTGGCGACGGGGCCGCTAAGGGTCGCGCGAGGGGCACGCCACGGGGCGTGCAGTACACAGAGTAGCAGCGGAAGCAATTAGGTGGGCCCACAGGCCAGGAGCGTAGTTGCTCTGATAGCATGTGAGAATGAACGAGAGAATGGGAATGGTGTTCACTATAGCACTAGGGTACATATAGCAAACAGGGCATGCAAAGAAGGTGCACCACCAACAGTTTATAATAACTACACTAAACTACAGCTACAGGCAGTTACAGATATATTCTAACAGTGTTGTACCCTATATTGTCAACCCCACTACAGCCTACACAGACTATAGCATATAAGTTTGACAATAATTGCTCGAGTGGCCATGCCAGGGCATTTTCGAGGTGTTTTTTTTCCCTGCCACATAACCCTACAAGGGTTCGTACCCCCGAAATTCCTCGTTCGCACAACAGTAGATGCGCGGTCATTTTCGGCCTAATGCGCGACTAATGAGTGTGTGGGCAAATACATCAGCGATCATAAACTGCAACGCCAGAGCATAAATGCACGAACATATTATTGACCGCGCACGATTGGTCGATAATATGTTTCTTGCACTTTTTGGCAATGCGCGTCCAATCACGCACGGTCATATAATTCACAACCGTATATTTAGGCGATAAAGGGTCGCCCAACAACCAATATGAGCGCGCATTGTCAGAATCCCAACCACTAGACCATTGGGATAAAAGGGCTTGTTAAGTAGCGGGTCAGAGTGCGCCCATAACCCCCCAGGCGAACGCGCCTGTAACCCCCCTAGGATCAATCGGGCATCCACAGTGCAGATCTACTGACACCCCCCCACGCTGGGAGGCCCAGGACTGAGCACAGCGACAACGGCCTACATGTGCATATACCGGGATTCGAACCCGAGACCTTCGCTCTGATACCATGTCAGAATCCCAACCACTAGACCATTGGGATAAAAGGGCTTGTTAAGTAGCGGGTCAGAGTGCGCCCATAACCCCCCAGGCGAACGCGCCTGTAACCCCCCTAGGATCAATCGGGCATCCACAGTGCAGATCTACTGACACGCATATACTACCATTAGTTCTATCATATGTCCGGACCATATAAAACCATGTAGATCAAATGCAATAAATATCAACTCTGCTATCAATTTAAGCCCAGCATACTAGAAATAATATTGTATCTTGGCCTATCATAACCGTGGTGGCAGCATATTATGCTGGGCTTAAATTAATATTATGCTGCCGAACATATTATTTCTGCAACCATATTACCGGCAATACAATATTATGGACCTCGGTATGATGGGCTTAAATTAATATTATGATAGGCCAAGATAAAATATTATGTCTAGTATGATGGGCTTAAATTTATAACAGAGAATATATTTATGGCATTTGATATACATGGTTTTATATGGATCGGACATATGATAGAAATAATGGTAGTATATGCGCGCTCATATTGGTTTTTGGGCGACCCTTTATCGCCTAAATATATGGTCATGAATTATATGACCGTGCGTGATTGGACGCGCATTGCCAAAAAGGGCAAGAAGCATATTATCGACCAATCGTGCGCGGTCAATAATATGTTTGTGTCAGAATGTTATTCTCTAGCCTGTAGTGGGGTGCTCTATAGCGAGTACAACCCATCTAGGGTTTGCTATATGTATCCTCATTGCTGCTAGTGAAAACCTCCTCTTTTGCCTAAACTTCTCTTGCCTAGCTAGGACTTACCTAGCTATGGCTCCTAACTCTACCTACTATCTTCACAGTTCGTGCATTCATGCTCTGGCGTTGCAGTTTATGATCGCTTATGTATTTGCCCACGCGCTCATTGGTCGCGCATTGGGCCGAAAATGACCGCGCATCTACTGTTGTGCGAACGAGGAATTTCGGGGGTACGAACCCTTGTAGGGTTATGTGCCAGGAAAAAAAACACCTCGAAAATGCCCTGGCATGGCCACTCGAGCAATTATCACTGAATTGGATGGCCACGCGAGCAATTCGGGGACACGTGGGCAAGAGCAAATCACCAAACAAGGCACTGGAGCAATTAAGAAGCAAAAAAACAATGAAGTAGTAGTACTTCACCCGTGCCCAACTTGAACCCCAAGCTGGGCCCAAAATCGCAGGGACGTGACAAAGCGATCGTAGTGCTTCTGCTCTGCGTCTCCCCAAACAGAGATGCGACGCCTGACGTGCTGTGTTGCTTTTCTCGGTTTTGGCGGGAACCAATCAGATTTGCTCAAACGCTCTCAACAAAACAGTGCAAACTTGTCGGTTTGGTTTGAAAATTGTTTCGCTTGACAAGCTCTCTTTCAACCTGGCCGCGGGTTCACTATTTTGCATTTTGGTTTTAAGAATAAGCCATCCCTTAAGGCACGAATACACAGCGACACAAACACATTCATACTAAGGGTGCGTCAGATCCGTTGTCGGAAAAATCCAGCCGGCCGGATCTAGCGAAGGTTACACATTCACGACATTCGTAAGGTATTTCGTTAATTTCGCACAATCCGGCCACTTGCTAAAATTTTGATGGCCGGTTTGATGGCCGGCTTAGCATTCGACAACTTTCCGACGTGCAAACGAATCGAGAGTCGACCACTTTGTCGACTCATCAGCGCTACAGTACCTATGCGACTTGGCCAACATACCCAAGCGACTCAACGTGTCACAAGGACGACTCGCACGGCGCTTTCAGCGCCGTTGAACATGACCACTTTTCGGGGTCACACTGTTGTAAATGGACAGCCTTACTCGCCGAGCCGGGTTGTAAATGGAGCCGCAGCTCACATCTTGACTCCCTGATCGTAGTGTGCACAATAGCGGTTGTGTCACTTCAGTAACAATACGTGCGACTCCGTCGCACAATCCGGCCAACTGTGCGACCTGCAAATCTGACACTTTTGCAAACCGGCCTGTAAATCGGCCACCAAATCTGTCAGATTTCAACACCTTGTAAATGTGGCTGGATGGTGGTCGGTTTAGCATTCGACCATTCGGTCGACTTTGGCGAAAAAAGGAGTCGACCAAAAGGGCGACAAATTTGCAGCCAAATCACATTGTAGCGGATCTGACGCACCCTAAGGCAACATCAGAGCCGTCTACAAAACAGCAGTCCTTAAAACCAGGGTGCACATTCAACGCGGTTCGGCTTGAGATGCTGGGAAGGGGGTTTGGAGAAAAACAGTGATTGGCTCACGAGGGGCGACAAAAAAATGATTCCGCTAGAGCTTCGGGCATTTCGTAGGTGGCGGGAGGGGGTGAAATGGCGGGAGTGGGTGAAACCGAATGGCGGGAGGGATGAAACAGATTGGCGGGAGGGGGGGGAAACGAAATTGCGGGGGAGGGGGGAAACAAAATTGCGGGGGAGGGGGGAAACGAATTTCGACGGGGAGGGGGAAATGAAATTGCGGGGGCGTGGGGAAACGAAATTGCGGGGGAGGGGGGAAACGAATTTCGACTTGAAGGGGTTGAAAGCACACCTCGTAACCCACTCAGTCAAGGGATAACCTTTGATGCACATTCAGCTGAATGTGCACCCCGGTTTTAATAAGGAAGCACACACACACATTCCTACTAAATCACCTGATATTGTGAACCCACCGCCCGTCATCCAGGCCACAGCCCTCCTCATCACTCCCTCACTCACTCACTGCGATTTACTACTCTCTCCACCGCCTCCGCTCGACCCTATTCTAATCGCATTCGCCACCTCCTCCTCCAGGTTGTGCCCCTGCTTGTCGTCAATCTCCATGTCAATCTGCCTCGCCATCCGGTTACGGGTGGCACCGCACACCTCCTCGCGCAGAGCCTCCAATTCAGCAAGCACTTTGATCATGTTGGGGCGGAGCGCCGTGGGCATGGCGGTGCAGCTGAGCGCCAGGCGTGCCAGGCGCAGGATAATGTCTGGTGGGGCGTCGAAGGCCGGGTCTTTGAAGGTCACTCCGTCATTGGCTGCTATGAACGGGGCCACCTGGTGGGTGCGGGGTGGGAGGCGTGGAAAGAGAAGGGAGATGAGAGAATGGGAGAGGAGAGGAGAGGAGGGGCGAGGAGAGGAAGGGGGGGGGAAGATGAGAGGAGGGGAGAGGAGAGGAGAGGAAGTGGAGGGGAGAGGAGAGGAGAGGAAGAGGAGGGGAGAGGAGAGGAGGGGATGACAGATCACGGTGAGGAGAAAGGCGCTTTGGGCAATGAGGACGGATGGAGGAGGCATAGGGATGAGTATGTGAGAGTCCAGGTTCGTGTGTGCGCATGCATGGCAACAGGGATGGAAGATTTCTGCATGTGCATGGCAATGGAGATGAGCTGGAGCATGGCAAGAGTAGCATGAGCATGGGCATGTGCAGGAGGAGCAGGAGCAGGGAGGCGAGGGCGGGAGGGCACGGACACATTGCTTGAGGTTGATCTGGTTGTCCTCCGAGTTGCAGATGGCCTTGCGTGCCGTCAGGATCGTGAGCATCACCACTCCAAAGCTATGAGGGCGGAGGGCACGGGAGGTATGGGAGGCACGACAGGAGAGAGACCAAGGGCGGGATATGATGAGGGGATGGAAGAGCACAGCAGGTAGTGCAAGAAGGGAGCACATGGGAACATTAAGGAATAGAAGAAATTTGCTAAAATACACCACACCTGCACACGTCACCCTTAACTGCACGCATCGCCCATACCTGTGAACGTCAGCCATAGGAGTGGCCTTCTGAGACTTGAAATACGCCGGGTCCACATAGCCCGGTGTGCCCATCACCCGCGTTGCTCCCACGGTCGTGCCCTCGCCCATCCTCACCAGCCCAAAATCGGCTACCATTGCCTGCCGTGGATGGGACGTGCAGGCATCGAAGAAGCAACAAGAAGACAGAAGAAGTCAATGGTACAGGCAGGGGTTGTTCCCTTGTGTGTATGCTGCCACAGCGCATGGAAGCCGCTTACAGCAGGCATCAGCAAAGCACTTGTGGGCGTGTTGTGTTCCTGCCTGCCCCATGTAACTGAACGCAAGTGCAGAGATGCTACGTAGCCATATAGCTCTGTGCGTTCACCTGCATGTTGCTGTCGAGCAGGATGTTGGCGGGCTTGATGTCACGATGCACGATGCCAAAGCTGTGGAGGTACTGCAGCCCCTCTGCCACTCCGATCATCACATCCAAGCGCTGCATGAGAGAGAGTGGGCGGGCTGCACCTGCAGCAGGGATGAAAGGAACAAAAGTGACACGCGGGGAAGAGGAGCGAAAGGCGGGGAGGTACGGTGTGGTATGGGCTGGGTGTCACTACCCAGATAAGCGAGCCTCATGGAATCACCAACTCACCACACGAGAGTATACCGAGCATGCGCTTGTGTGCAAGTAAGGAGGACACGAGACGACAAGTGAGGACAAGTGAGGACAAACGAGGACAAACGAGGCAGCACAAGAGAGGGCATGGTAAGTAATTGAGTGAGTTGAACACACCGGGGCCGAGCCAGCGTTCGAGGTCGCCGTTGGGCATGACCCTCGTAGATGAGGATCTGCTCCGTCTGCTCCGTGGCCTCGTTGACGTCGATGCAGAACCCCAGCAGCCGCACCAGGTGTGGGTGGTGCTTCGATGCCATCTCGTTCACCTGCACGCTCGCACGTGCAGGGCGGACGGCCGGGAGGAGGGAGGAGTGGGGGTAGGAGCGGGAGCAGGAGCAGGAGAACGAAGCATCGAGACGGAGCAGTATGAAGAGGTACCAATACAGCACCAATAGCACAAAACATCATTGCGATCATCTGGTATCGCAAAAACGTCGTGCGCACTTCTCATCCATCAAGCAAAGAAAGGTCCCCACTCCCCACCCAACCCTTCACTCTCTCTCTCTCTCACACACAACCCCCAGCCTGCCCACCTCGCGGCAGAAGTCACAGGTGAGCAGTGGGATCGCAGTTGCTGGTCCCATCCACACCCCATGCCTCTCACCTCGCGGCGGAAGTCATTGGTGAGCACTTTGGCGCGCTTGACAGCCCAGAGCGTGGAGGGGTCGGCGGGGTCCTCAGCATGGTACACGTCCCCAAAGCCCCCGCTGCCGATCTTGTTGGCCTCCGCCCACATGCCCGTTGCCGCTGCCAGCACGTCCAGCCGGTACTGCCGACACACCGCCGGTCCCCCCACGGCCCCCGCCCCTACTGCTGCTTGGCCCGAGGGACCCTTGGACCCACTCGCACTGCCTGAAGGGTAGGGAAGATGGTTGGGGATGAGGGGTGTGGGAGAGGGGTGAGAGGAAGGGGTGCAGGTGGGTGGAGGAGTTTTGTGGCACATGTTGAGATGGGTCAAGAAATACCAGCCACCTGCCAAGCTCTCATGACGTCTCAAAAGTGGACTCACAAGCCACGATGCATCACATGATCGATGTCCTGTCATTCAACCTCCTGCGAGGCTGACTCAACAATAGCCTCTCACATTGCTCTACCCTAGGGAAAGAACCATTCCTGTTGCGCTGTAATGATTAACCATTCCTGTTGCGCTGACACAAATGACGACACTTATCCTATCCCTCCTATCTACGACCTGAGGCACCAGCAGCAGCACCAACAGAAGCAACAACAGCACCAGCAGCACCAGCAGCGGAAGGTTCTTGAGAACCCTCTAGGCTCACGCAACACTTGACCTACCACTTCTCTCTACCGGAGGCACCAGCAGCACCTGGGGCGGATCCACCAGCTGCTGCTGCAGCAGCAGCAGCAGCAGCAGCGGCGGCGGCGGCGGCGGTAGCATCGTCGAGTTGCGAGAGTGGCTTTGGTTGCTTCCGCCTGCGGAAGGAGAGTAGCGGCAGTAGCAGCAGCAGCGCGAGCACGGAAACACCCGCCACGGCAATCCCCGCAATGGCCCCCACTGATAGCCCCGCCGAGGAAGGTGGAGGCGGAGGAGAGGGCGATGGAACGAAGGGAGGTGAGGTAGGAGGGGGAGGAGGGGGCGGAGAGGGCTGAGGGGAAGGAGGAGGGGGTGATGGTGAACGGGGGGGAGGTGAGGGAGGTGAGACGGGGGGAGAAGGTGGTGCGGGTGAGGGGAGTGACGGCGGTGGGGAGGCTGCAGGAGGGAGGATGACTGGTGGCGATGATGGTGGAAGCTTAAACATATCTGCCAAGAAACCAGGAGGAGGAATGTGTTGAGGGGAGAGAGTGGGTGAGGTAGAGCGGGGTGGGAAACCGGGGGAGAGAGGGGGTGAGGTAGAGCGGGGTGGGGAACCGGGGGAGAGAGAGAGAGGGGCGAAGTTTTGTGATTCTGAAGGGAAGAACATGTGGTGAGTAGGTGAGTATGAGATGGAGGATGAGGGCAGGGGAGAAGTATGTGTTGCTGGCAGGGAGAGAAAGGGGAGGATGAATGCGGTGGCAAGGAGATTCTTTGAGGCGCCTAGAGAAGCATCCCACTACTTGGTGAGGGGGAAGGGAGAGCTGAGAAGCTGAGCGCAAAGAAGAAATAGGAGAGAACGTGTGCAGATTGGATATGGGAGATGGGAGGTGGGAGATGCTTGAGGAGGGACCCAAGCCAAGCATGGTATGCCATCCCACTGGCTCCTGCTCTGTCAACACGGGCACATGGCCCAGTCTTCGCCGCATGGCTCACTCACTCACTCACTCACTCACTCACTCACTCACTCACCCACCCACTCACTCACACACTCACGCACTCACCCGATTCGCGTGCTCACGCACCCACTCACTAACTCACCCACTCACCCACCCACCCGCCCACCCACCCACTCCCTCATTCACTTACTCAATTAGTCACTCTCTCCCTCCCTCACTCACTCATGCGACCCGACATTGCACATGAATCAGCGGCACGAGGCATGCTCACTCATGACGGCACAGTTGACGCAGAATTCAGAGCACTCGAAGCAGTACTTCACTGCAATGTTGTTGCTCGTCACTGCTACACACTGCTCCCTGTCACTCGGCGGGCATGTTACCAGCCCTGGGGGGTCTTGTGTGTAGTCACTGAGAGGGGAGAAAGTGAAGGCGGGATGGGAGAAACGTGTCAGGGGGATTTTTTTTTCTTCTTCTTCTTCTTCTTTTCTTAAGAAATCTGAAGTGGAAGCGGGAAAAGGAGAGGTGTGACGTGGATTGGTGCCAGAAGAAAAGGGGCGGGGAAAATGTTGGAGAAATTGCATACCAAAGAATTAGCTTTCAATGAGACTTCAAATTAATGATAATGGTAACGATAATGATAATGATAATTGTAATAGTAGTGATAGTAGGAGGAGGAGGAGTAGGAGGAGGGGGAGGAGGAGGAGGAGGAGGAGGAGGAGGAGGAGGAGGAGGAGGAGGAGGAGGAGGGGGAGGAGGAGGAGGAGGAGGAGGAGGAGGAGGAGGAGGAGGAGGAGGAGGAGGAGGAGGAGGAGGAGGAGGAGGAGGAGGAGGAGGAGGAGGAGGAGGAGGAGGAGGAGGAGGAGGAGGAGGAGGAGGAGGAGGAGGAGGAGGAGGAGGAGGAGAAGAAGAAGTTAAAATAGAAAGAGAGTAGCTGAGGTGCGTACAGTGATTCGAGTTTGGTGAGGGCGAACATGGAGCCAGGTAGGTAGCCAGTGAGAGTGTTGTGCGACACATTGCTGCCGTGGCCCATGCCGCATGCAGGGTGGACGCATGGTGGATGCACAGGGAGTGGGATGAGAGTGGTGCCACCAGCATTGCAGGCACCATTGGCACAGGGAGGAGACGGCGGTTTGGGGCACATCAACTCCAAAACGCGGCATTGTGGAAGAACGGCAGGGGAAGAGACGGATGAGAGTGTGAGAAAGGCAGATCGAAACCAGTAGCACGAATGCAGGGTGTGTGAAAAGCAAGACGGCATACAGGCACGCAATTGAACAGGCTTGCATGCATGTGGAAAGTTTGGCAGTGAATCCAACATGTAGTCGAACGGGAAAGGCATGTATGTTGCGGAATGCAGATGAACAGGTGCCCCCCAAAAATGAGTGCAAGCGAGGATGCATAGGGAAAGAGCATGCATAGGGGGAGAGCGTGCGTAGGAGGAGAGCATACGTAGGGAAAGAGCATGCATAGGGGGAGAATCTTAGAAGCTGGGCCCAGGGGTGAGTTGTGGCGGCACTGACAAGGTGGTGAGGTTGACGAGGTTGCCTATTATCGTTGGAATGGATCCCGTCAACTTGTTGCTCGCAACACCGCTGCCGTTGCACCGCATGAAACGTGCAACATGCGACATGCCCCATGCCCCATGCCCCATGCCGCATGCTGCATGCCCCGTGCCCCATGGCATCCAATGAGCCAAGCCAGTATTGCAGGGGCCCAAATCAGACAGGCATGGCGTGTCAGGGAACAGGAGTCCTAGAGAGCGAAACAGAGGGAAGGGAAACGGTGCAACAAGACCAGTGTCAGAGGCCGTGCAAGAGGGGAGCAACAGTGAAGAAGAGGAGTATCCGTGCTAGATTGGTGAGGCAGCATGAGTATATGCCCAGAGAGTTCGAGTGAGAGGTGTCACAGGGGCGAAGGGGCAGGAAAAGGGGAAGGATGGTGAAGAGGAATGAAGGTACACAAGGGGTGTGAGTGATGGTGAGGGCCAGAGACTTGAGCACACGCATGCCTGTCATGGTGAGGCCCACAATCCTGACGTGGGCATGGCAGGTATGTGCATGTGAGTCCGCAGGTGCATGTGAGTGTGTGTGCATGTGTAACAGTGTATGCATGTGCATGTGCATGAGCATGCGCATTTGAGTGACTAACAAGTAGTTGAGTGACTGGAGCAGCCCAATGGCAGTGGGAATGGATCCCGTGAACTGGTTGTACTGAATGGCTCTGCGCAAGAACGGGTGCACGCATGGGCAGAGAGGGATGGGAGAGGAGCGCGGAGAGGGATGCGTGACCAAGAAGAAGACAGACCTGGTGCTCGCTCTTTGTTGCTTCTGCCATTTCAATCAGAGGCAGACTGATCGACAGAGCGTGACACAGTACGATAAAACGCGATACAGCGAGACTGTGTCACACGGCACGATACAGCGGCAGACATGGGCGACCGACATAGGGTGGCAGCACGGGTGGCAGCACGGGTGGCAGCATGGGTGGCAGCATGAGTCACATTTGCTCTAGAGCGGTGCAGCTGATGAGAACATCCATGGACCCATTCAGCTGATTCTGCCACAGGTAGCTGCATGGGAGAGAGCGATTGAGACAGCAGTCAGACGATGAGATGTTGGGGCGAGGGGGAGGAGAAGGTGGGGAAGGGAGGGGAAGGGTGAGGAGGGGTTGCAAGGGTGGGGAGGGGTGAGGAGGGTAGATGGGTAAACAAGAGGCAACGCAAAGTGTTTACTAACCTGTTGCTGAAAGGGAGTGACAGATGCGACAAGAGCAACAAGAGAAGAGAAGCAAAGGAGGAGGGGGGAGGAGCAGGGCGGAGGAAGAGACAGGGGAGGAGTAGAGAAGGGAGAAGCAAAAAGAGGAGACGAGCAGAGAGAGGGGTTGAGCAGAAGCCGCAGAGATAGAGGGGGCAAAGGGAGGAGGGCAGAGGGAGGAGGGGCAGAGAGAGGAGGAGCAGAGAGAGGAGGGGCAGAGGGAGGAGGGGCGACGCACAGGCCTTGCAGATTGACGAGGTTGGAGAAGGAAGCAGGTATGGAGCCGGTGAGCTGATTGCCGCCCAGCTGACTGATGCTCGTGGGGAGAGGAGAGGGGGGAGGAGAAGAAGGTGGAGTAAAGAGAGGTGCAAGCCAGTGAAGGCAAGTCAAGATGGACTTGCACTGCTGCACGTTTGATTGAGGAGATGATTCTGAGAATGACAAGAACGGGAAAGGAAAGCTGGCAGAAGATGGTGTGTGGCTTTTGAGTCGACTAAAAAAGGCAGAAGATGGTGTGTGTGGGGATGTGGGAAAGATCAGGGTGACGAGAAGAGGGAAGGGAGGGAAGCAACACGGGGCATGGGAGAAGGAGAAATTATTGGTGGGTAATAATAATAACTGCATGGAAATTCACTTTTTAGGAGAACTTTGGCGACCCAAGCTGAGGTACCTTTCTAAGTCAGCTCAACAATCACTTTTCGTGCTGCTAGCTAGCGGCGTTACTTGAACCGTTATTGAAATGCAAAAAACATTATGCACGTTCCACCGCTGCGAGCTTACATGATGGTGAATCCACCAAGGAGACCCAGAGTGGCAGGGATGCTGCCTTGGAGGGCGTTCTCCCGCACAGAGCTGGTGGGGCCATGGGTGGGGAGATGAGATGGGCAAAACAAGGGGATGGTGGAACATTGAGTCATGAGTGGGGCCGAGCGTTGAATCTTGTGCATCCTGTGGATTGCGTTCTGTGGGAGATGTGATGCGTTGTGTGTTGCGAGATTCGTGCCTTATGCAGTGAGATGGGTATAACAGCTGGGGGTGGATGTGCATGTCATTATGCTGTGCTGTGTGTGTGCGCTGTGTGTGTGTTGTGTGTGTGCTGTGTGTGTGCTGTGTGTGTGCTGTGTGTGTGCTGTGCTGTGTGCTGCTGCTCCAACTCACAGCATTCGAAGATTCGTCAAGTTGCCCAGGCTCGAGTGCAGCTCGCCTGCCAGATCCATGTAGCCTACCTCCCTGCCACATGCCATCCCACATGCCAACCCACATGCCATCCCACATGCCAACCCACATGCCATCACACATGCCAACCCACATGCCATCCCACATGCCATTGCACATGCCATCCCACATGCCATCCCACATGCCATCCCACATGCCATCCCACATGCCATCCCTCATGCCAACCCACATGCCATCCCACATGCCATCCCACATGCCATCCCACATGCCATCCCACATGCCATTCCACATGCCATCCCACATGCCATCCCACATGCCGTCCCACATGCCGTCCCACATGCCATCCCACATGCCAGCCCCCATGCCATCCCACATGCCATCCCACATGCCATCCCACATGCCATCCCACATGCCATCCCACATGCCATCCCACATGCCATGTTGATTTCCAGCATGGTGGATGGAGTGGGGTGTGCATGCTCTCAAGTGGTGAAGCCAGAGCAGGGCAGAGTCCTACGAAGCAAGGTAAGTGGACGGGCAACACATGCAATACGGCACACAACACATGGGCACATGGGCACATAGGCGCACCGCGCATGGGCGCATGGGCGCACGGGCACACGGCAGTTGCCCGTGGAGAGCAAGCAGGGTGCGGGCTCACAAGTGCTCGAGGTTGACCAGGTCACTGAACTGTGACGGAAAGGACCCCGTAAAGAAGTTGTGCCCTAACTCGCTGCTCATGCACAACGTGGGAGGGGCCGCACATGGCATCGCATGACATCATGTTCTCGAATGGCCCGTGTATTAGCTGAAGGGTGGTACAAAGGTTTGAAGCAGACACATGCAAACTAGGCAAACAAGCAGACCTATCAACCATCACCTACTCCCCTCCCCTCCCCCCGCTGTCCGACCCTAGTGGTCGGACGGGGGCTCGATCAGCTGGTGCAGCTGCCCCTCGTTGAGAGGGGCCCACGGCCCTTGCAGGCTGAGCTCGTCCGCCTCCAGGGCCTCGTTGGTCTTGGTGCGGAGGGCATTTGCCTGTGCCCTCTGGAGGCACACGCTCCAGCGCTGGCGGTACTCCGTCAGCAGCTTGGCAGCCTCTCGAGAGGTAGGGGCCGCGTTGTAGCAGAGCTTCGCAGCCAGCTCCGCGCACTGCCGCAGGTAAGCCAGTACCCCCGGCGACGGGTAGCCGTAGGTCTCCACGGCCAAGGCGTGGAACCCCACCCACGCATTCCGTCCCGCATATTTCTCCTCCTTCCGAGCAGCTGCCGCCCTAGCCGCCCAACCAGGTGCGCGGTTGCAGTTCTCGTCCTGGAAGTACACTGGGTCGGTCACGGTCACGTCACAAAGCCACACTTCTCCGGTCAGGGGATGGCGGATGGAGACATCCGCTTTAAGGTTTTCAACCAGAGAGTAGGCATAGGTCTCCTTGTGAACCGTGAAGCCTGCTTCCGCCCCTATCCTTGCGATTTCATCCCTGAGAGCATGGTGTGTGGCAGTCCTCCCTTTCCCCTTCTCGCAGCGCATAAGGTGATTCGGGAGGCGGTCATCAGGAAAGGTGGTGCGGTATCGGCAGTCGCACCGCCTTGGGACAGGGAGGGGGAGGCCAAGGCGGAAGGAGGAAGCAGTAGAGTGTTGGGAGGGGCCCAGCCTCAGCGCACAAGAGAGTGGGATTGCCAGCAGCCAGTCCCCTGCTCCCGGGCCCAGCAGGGACTGCATCATGTTCTCTCTCTCTTCCGATCTTCATGCGCTCATGGGTGCATGCACGGGTGCATGCATGGGTGCATGCATGGGAGCATGCCTGGGTGCGTGCATGCGTGCATGTGCATGCATGGCAGCATGCATGGGTGCATGCATGGGTGCGTGCATGGAAGCATGCATGGGTGCGTGCATGGCATACAGCATGGTGAGCGCCTTGAGCTCAAAGATGACAGGCGGGATGTCACCCGAGAATGAATTATTGAACAAGCTCCTGCCGTGACGAGACACACAGATACAGAGATTTAGCGGGCCGGCAGAGAGGCGTGCAGACAAGAGGGTTGCAGAAGGGAAACGGGGACGGAGCTGCACGGTTGCATTCTGAGAGATCTCTAGAGGAAGTTAATGATAATGGGTTGATGTGGTGTGGGTCCATGCGAAAGCATGCTTCCCTCCATGCATGCATCCATGCTTCATTTCGTGCATGCATGCGACTGACAGCCGCTGGAGGTTGGAGAGGGCGGAGATGGTACTGGGAACATTGCCATCCAGTCGATTATGAGACACCGACCTGCCATGCGTGATGGTGGTGTGGTGGTAGGAGCCGTAAACGAAGAGGTGCGGGAGTGTGGGAGTGGCGGAATTAGGGTGGTGAGAGTGCGAGAGGGGTGGTAGTCGGTGCAGTAGCAAGAGAGATGGATGTGGAATTGGGAGGGGTGTAGATGGGAGAATAGACTCGGAGAAAGAGTTAGGGTTTAGGATGGGAGAAGCATGGAGAGAGGCAGATGACTAGAGAAGGACTGAGTACAAGCGCACGCTATGGGACACCTGGAAGCTGGAAGTAGGATAAAGCACGGTCAAGCACGGTCAAACATGGCAAAGCATGGTCAAACGCAATCGAGCAGAATCAAGCACAACAACCCATCGGCTACTTGCACGGGGGGGACAGCGAGACGAAATGGGATGAGTGAAGGGGCAGGTGCGAGGCAGCTCTACTTCTAGCGATAGCTTGCAAAAACAGGCGGGGCTTGTAGGAGGGGCAAAAGGTCGGAACAAAACAAGGAGCAGCCGAACACAAACGAAACATGCTAGTACCCAGCCCATGGCGCACCTTCTCTGAAGAGTCAAACATGTTAGTCAACAGCACAAACTCGCTGGGAGTTCCAATCTCCACTGCGGGTGCTGCTGGTGCTGTTGGGACGCGAGGGAGAACCCCTGCTGTGGTGGCGCCTGCAGCAGTAGTAACGGGCACTGTCGGTAGCATGCCAGGGCGCAGAGCCATTGCTGCTGCTGCTCCTGGCAGCCCTGCTGCAGCGGCAGCAGCACTGCACAGAAGGTGTATGGGGAAGGAGCAAAGACTGTGAGGGGAATAGCCAAGGAAAGAGAGGGAGAGATGACAAAAGAGCCCATTACCAGCTCCAAGAAGCATGAGGTTCAATAGAGTGCTGTGAGAGTGTGCATCGCAGACTTGACTTTTAAAAATTAGCAGAGGAGAAATCAACTTGGGAAAAGGAAGTAGAGACAGTACCTGGTCCCTGTGCGGTCTAGCTTGAGCATGAGAGCTGCCCTGGTCTGTGCGTCAAGTGCCTGTGAAGGCAGGAGAGCACACCGGAAAGAGGGCACGGAGTCATGTGAGATTGAGACAGCACAATGAAAAGAACGGTTGGGCAATTGGGAGAAGAGCTATGAAGAGTTGAGTACGAGGAGGAGGATCATACACCAATATAGACTAAAAAACTGACTGGGTGCAAGGCAAAAATGCCAACGTTCTTCCTGCACCAAGGCCACACGCCACACTCACCAGAACGCCTCATTCGTCAATGAGCTCCCCTGGAAGCACTGGGTCCATCACCTCTGGCACAGGAGTGATCTGCACAGAGTTGACTTTTGAGTCGACTCAAAAGTTCACTCACCAGACCGCCTCGGTCGTCGATAAGCTCCCCTGGCGTCACTGGGTCCATCACCTCCGGCACAGGCGTGATCTGCAGGGCGCACGTGGGGCGTGCAGGGCGGGAATAGATTAAAGAAGGACGGAAAGCTTCCTAATCTTGAGTTTTGGCCGACGGCTGTAACGGCCATGCTCAGTGCGTGCTGCGTCTACCCTCTTTCTTGAAAAGGGACAAACAAGGTTGGGACGAGGGTTGAACCCACACCCTCTGGTACCAGCACAGCTAGCAGAATAGCACATCAGTTCAAGTGAGGCAGAGAGCAGGCGTACCTTGATTGCGAGCCCTGCCAGCTCAAGCCCTTCCAGGTTCTGGTGTGCCATACGCGCATCCTCCAGGCGTGTGTACTGCACAGAGCGCGCACACACACACACACAGAACAGAATGATGCGAGTTGGGTTGAAATGAGTAAGCGCTGCACACATAACACGCGATTATGTATTCGGCGAGAGCAAAAACTGTGGGATTACTGAGTTTTACCTTAGCAGCATTATCTTTTTCACTCGCCCATACACTTAGCCCTCCTCTTCCCCTCCTCTCCCCCTCCCACCCCCGAATCCCCTTCCTTCAATTTCATCTACGAGTCTCTCCCCCTTACTCCACCGCACCGCCCACCTGCACGAAGCCAAATCCCTTGCACTGAGCCGAGCCTGGCTCCATGGGCACCTCCACCACCTCCAGCTCCCCAAACGGCTCAAACACCTGTGTACCGAGGAGTGAGAGGAAAGATGCAGTACAGCAGAGAGGACGGAAAGTGGGGAAAGTGGGAAAGACACACAGCATACTCAGGACGAGGGCTGTGACAACCGGCTGAATGCAAGACCGGAGGAGGAAGGGGGTGGAGATGGGAAACTCCAATTCCCACTGTGACTCCCTTCGTATCTTACCATGCTTTTCCATCCCCCGACTTTCCTAAACTTCTCCCCATCCCCCTTACCCTTTCCCCCCGGTTTCCCAGGCCTTCGCGCGCTCACCTGTCGCAGCTGCCCCTCGTTCATGTTCACGTGCAGGTTCCCCACGTGCAGCCGCTTCGACCCAGTCGCCAGCAGCCCCGCTCTCCCAGCGGCAGCAGCACTCGCCGCGCTCTGCGCTGCAGCGAGGTTCTTCTCCGCCTCAGACGGCTTCACCATGATGGGCGTCCCCAGCAGCATCTGCCCGGAGAGCGCGAGCGCCATGGGCACGGCCATGGGGTCGTAGAACTCGATGTAACCCACGCCTTTGGAGCGGCGCGAGTAACGGTCCATGATGAGGCGCACGTCGCGCACCTTGCCCGCCTGCGAGAAGAACTCGTACACGTCGCGCTCGTCCGCCTTGAGGTTGATCTGCGGGCATGGGCGACGGCATACCGTTCGCGAATGCGAGGAGATAAATGGAAAAGCGGGTTACAGATACTTATCACACTGACGATTCTGTAAAGCTCTAAATGGCTTGTGCGCAACCCTGCAATCATGCACAGGTACTCGTTTCCTGGGTGGCGAACACACCATGGCTTGGGATACCTGATAAGCAAGCAGAGTGTGGGCAGAGCACCTGATAGGCGAAGACGGTGCGAAGGTCTCTCTCCAAATCAGGCGCGACCTCCGCCTCCTTTTCACACCTCTCCCGCCGCTCACGAGAGCTGCGAGCACGGGTTTAGAATGGGAGATGTGAAGAAGACAACGGAAATGGCGAATCAGCTGATGACGAAGGACGGCGACGACAGAGCTACACAGCAGCACGGGCGGCGGTCGCAACTTGGTCAGTATGTCAAGTGTCACAAACACCACGCGCGTTTTGCTTCCACACGCTGCATCCGCACAGTCCAGTAAATCAGCACGCGACAAAAAAACGCACCAGCAGTACAACAGAGAGGTAGAAATGATTTTTGCGGGGCAAAGACCGTGATATCATACCTCCGTCGGTCGTAGTAATCCCGGTCACGATCGCGGCGCCGGTCCCTGCCATAGTCTCGCCTCCAGTCACGATCCCTTCCACGGCTGCTGTAGCAGTTATCGCGGTCTCGTTCGCTGTCCCTGCTCCGATAGTAGCGGTCCAGGTTCCGATCTACGTCGCGGTCGTCATCCCTCTCTCGGTCGCGCTCCCGGCTTCTGTGGCTTCTCTCTGTGTCGCGACTGAGCGATCTCGGCTCCTCGTAGCGTCGCACGCGCTTGATGCGATCGCCCTCCTTCTCGTCGCCGACGTCGCCGTTCTCCTCGTCGCCATACGCGCCGTAGTCGTCGCCGTAGCCGACGTCGCCATCGTCATGAAAGCTCGTGGAGCGTCGCTTGGACCCCGTGCGACATCGCTGATAAGCGTCGTCGTCGAACTCCGTCGACCGTCGCACAGAACCACCGCCGTTCATGTCGCGACCCGTCGGAGAGGCATACGCATCCTCGCCAGCTGCTGCGCGTTCCACAGTCTTCTCGAGGTAATCGTACTCGTCGAACTCCCCCATATCCAAACCACGTCACGAGGAGCCAAGCGTTTCGTGGCTGTTGCCGCGTCGCGCGAACTCTAAAGAAAGCTCGTCAGTGTATCTGTTTTGCGGTCACAAAACAACTGACTTGGTTTGACAGTCGACCTTTAAACAAATATTGCTCCTACGTTTGCTACTTCGCAGTTCCGTGATATGCCACGCTCAGTGTTGCTTCCTGATGAAACTGAAACCGTGGTGGTCTGTGTGGAAGGATCGTCTACTAGTCAAAAAGAATTTGACAGCTAAATTTGAACTCCGTGCCTTACCAGAGGTCCTTGTACGGTTCGTCCTGCTTCGTAGCGGTCCAAAACGGTGTAAAAGACAACCGCATTGGCCCGTGAATAAACGTGTTGAACCGCGCTACCCGAACCTCGAAACAATTCTGGCTTTCCCTGATAATCCCAAGAGCAGGGAAGCGAGCGAGCGTCAAGGTGGACTCGAGGAACACCAGCGACAGACGCGACAACTGATTGTTCCGATGGTGCTGCACGCGCCCAAATCATCCCAAGGCGACGGGCCGCCAGAAACACACATCCACCTCATTGACGGAATGGATGGGAACAATTCACTTGTGAAGCGTCAAATCGAACAATTCAAGAAGGTTCCAGCGCGTCCGCACTTGGAGCACTTACAACAGCACGTTACTGAAAGCAATTATAGGTGTTTGTAATGTAGATACCACTACCACGTTTCGCATTTAGAAAATCCACTATTGGTCGAATGGGACAGTGTGCTACAGAATTGGAAGTAACATGACAACTGCAGCCTAAGATCGCAACAATCACAACTGGAGTCAAACATCACAGGGTACGAAACAACACAGCACAGCTGGTAGTGCATGTGCCTCTCCTACAAGAGACGACAGAAAATGTGCGACGAAATGAGCTCCTCTAGCACAAGCCTGAGGCTCAAGCCACGTCTTAACTGCACGAAAATTGTACTTGTATGCAATACCTTGCCATTGCAAGCAACATCTGCAGCAGCAGCACCATCAGCAGCACCAATACCTTGCCATTGCAAGCAACATCTGCAGCAGCAGCACCATCAGCAGCACCAACCACCCTTACCCACTGCTACTGCCAGCATGCCCTGTGCCGGTGTTGCCCGCAGACGCAGCCGCTGCCGCTGTTGCCGCCGCTGCCGCTGTTGCCGCCGCCGCAGCAGCAGAGGCCCTGGTGCTCACTGTCCTGGGTGGGACCCCTTGCACCCTGAGCCTGGTGGCAGTGGCAAGGATGGGAGGGTTGGGCGTGATGACACGCGCAGAGGACAAACCTGTCGCCCTGACTGCACGCGCGGGAGCACGAGATGGCAGTGGAGGGACAGACAGGGGAGATGCAGCAGCTGCGGCTGGTTCAGTGGCTGCAGCTGCTGCAGCAGCACGTGGTGCAGACCGGAGCACACGCGACGTGCTGGGAACGATGGGAGAACCAGCACCAGCACCACCAGCAGCAGCAGCGGCAGTAGCAGCAGCGGCAGCAGCAGGAGAAGCAGGCACAGCAATGCCCGCAGCACCACTCGCATTGGTGCTACGACCACCTTCTTCCTCATCACAATCCTTCACCTCCTCAACCTCCTCTTCCTCCTCTACCTCCACCACCTCCTCCTCATCGCCTCGCCGTGCCGCCACCCCACCTTCGGCCACACCACAATCCCCACCAAGCAGCATGCTCCGGAACTGCTGAGGCCTCCCCACCCTTCCTCTCCTTCCTCCTCCTACTCCTACTCCGCCTCCTCCTTCCCCTCCTCCCACACTTGCTCCTGGCCCCGCTCCCACCAGTCCTGCTGCCTCTCCCCACCGGACCCGTTCAGCCTGTCTCATAGCCTCCTCCACCCTCTCCCTATCTCGCCTTGCTCGCTCCAATGCCAAGTTCAGAGCACGCCCCACTCGGCCACCGCTGCTGCTGCTGTTGCCATTGCCATGTGCAGCAAGTCCCGTCGACCTCGGCTGAGCATTGGCAGCATTACCAGCAGCATCAGCACCATCGGCAGCAGACGCAGCAGGTGCGCCATCAGCAGCACTTCCAACGGCGACACCGATTGCAGCAGCACCAATAGCGGAAAAAGCAGCAATGGCAGCCGCACGCCCACTGCCAGTTGTCCTCTCAACAGGTTGCAAGTCCCCCCACCTTCCACGCCTAGTGCCGCCGCCGCCACCGCCACCATCGCCGCCACCACCACCACCGCTGCTGCTGCTGATGGTGCGTGCTGCCAGCCAGCTTGGCACTCCCCTCCTCCCCCCCACATAGTCCCAAGGAAGCACTGGTGCCTCGTCTGCACTCTGTGCAGCATCCAAACCAGCGCCCGTGCCAGTGCCCGAACCAGCGCCCGTGCCAGCAGCTGCGTCAGAGCCAGCAGCAGCAGCAGCAGCAGTCGCAGCAGTAGCACCGCCACCGCCAACACAACCGCCCGCGGCAACAGCAGCAGCTGGAGCTGATCGTGAGGAGGCAGTGAGGCCTCGGCGGAAGGGCACTCGCGACCCAGCACCACCCAGAGCACGTGCACCAGCAGCACCACCAGCTGCACCGCCAGCACCACCACCAGCACCACCACCAGCGCCACCAGCAGCGCCACCAGCAGCAGCTGCTGCGGATACAACCGCACTGCTGAGCATGAGCCTTGCCTCCAGCTCCTCCAACCGCTGCCTGATCCCCATTGTACGGGCCAACGCCCTCTCCTCTGCCGCTCTCTCTTCGCCTCGGCCCTCCTCCCCTCGGCCCCCCTCACCTCTCTCCCTCTCCCTCCCACCACGCACAAAAGCATCTCCACTCGCCGCCTCCTCACCCGCCTCTCCCCTCCCTCTCCTCGCCTCCCTCCCCTCCTCCCCGTCCGGCTCCCTCTCCCCGTCCCTCTCTCTGCCCCCCCTGCGCGGGGCAGGGAGGGTGCTGAGGAGGCTGCGGCGGGTGTGGGCGGGCAGGGCGGGAGGAGCAGCAGCAGCAGCAGCAGCAGCGGCAGCGGCAAGGGCAGGGCGCCTGCGGGCAAAGATGGGCGCGGAGGAGAAGAGGGGAGGGTTCCACACAGAGGAGCCACTGCCTGCAGTCAGCAGCAGCATGGCTGTCCACAGGGACCCATTGTCCCCAGGGAAATCCATATCCTCGTTCTCCTCCTCTTCCTCCTCCTCTTCCTCTTCCTCCTCCTCCTCCGCCTCCTCTTCTTCCTCGTCTCGTTCCTCCTCTGCTTCGCCTTCCTCCTCCTCCCCTTCCTCCAGTGCAGCCCTCGCTGCAGCTCTCACTCTTGCAGCTGCTCTTGCTGCTGCTGCTGCTCGAATCCCCCTCCCCCCCTCACCCTCTTCCCCTTCCTCCCCATCCTCCTCCTCTACCTCCTCTCCCCATCCGCCACCGTCTATCTCCCATCCAGCATCCCCTCCTCTCCCCCGCCTCCCCGCTAACCGAGCCCTCCGCCTCCACTCCCTCGCCCTGGCCTCTGCTAATGCATTCCGCCTCTCTTCCTCCCCCTCGTCTCCCCCTCCCGCCCCACCACTGCTAAACCGCAACCGCCCAAACCCCCCCCTCTCCCCCGTTCGACCACTCCCCACCCCACCCGCACCTAGCCCCTCTCTCGCCCGCTCAAACCCAAACAGCCGCGCAGCAGCCCTCCTCCCAGCCGCCCCCATCGCCCCTCCCCCCTCAATTCCCCCCAATCCCCCCACACCGAACGGATCGCCCAGTCCCCCCGCATTGAACCCCGCTAGCGTTCCCCCCATCCCCCTCAACCCCTGCCTTCCCAAGCCTCCCCTGCCGCCCGCGCCTCCCCAGAACCTGCCTCCGCCATACAACCCCCCTGCGCCAAAGCGGCCCCCGTCAAGACCCCCCAACCCGCCAAACCCGCCCAGCAAATCGTCCTCATCATCACTATCGCCGCCTATCACATAGTCGCCTATTATAGTAGCTCCTGGCATGGCGGCGCGGATGCTGCTCACCACGTCCCCGACCTCCTGCTGGCTCTGCAGCCTCCGCCACTGGCGCACGCGCGCCGGGTCCGCCTCCGCGGGCGGGCGCGCCTGCGCGTGCGCGGAGCGCGCGTGCGCGCGGAGGGCGGGGTACGCGCCGGCGAACGCGCAGTTCTCATGCGCGCACGCGCGCGGAACGGCGTTGAGCAGCGCGCGCACGTCCTTATGCACGAACCACCCCAGCACGGGGCAGCGGCACATGGGGCAGCGCAGGGACGCGGACTCCGCGGCAGGCACGCGCGAGAAGCACAGCCCGTGCAGCTCCCCGCCCGTGAAACACGCTGTGGTGTCATGCGCCCCGTGGCAGCGCCCGCGCTTCCTGCTCCGCTTCCCCGCCTTCCCCGCCTTCCCCGCCTTCCCCACCTTCCCCGCCATACCCTCCTGCGCGTCACGGGACCCGTGCGCCAAGTGACTAAGCGGAGTATGATGAGTGTGGTTGCAGATCACGCTCGTCTCGCTCCTCCTCGCCTTGCCAATATCCTCCTTCGCCGTTCCCTTCCCTGCCCTCTCAACTTGCGCCTCATCCCCACCTTTTCCTTCTCCTGCGCCCTCCCCCATGCTCTCGACTGTCTCGCCCGCCGTCAGGAGCAGCAGCTGACCCCGTCCGAGCGCCCGAAGGAACGGCCGGCTCACGCCGCGAAGCCCGCCGTCGTCCACGCGACGCCGAGCCGCTTCCCCCCTCCGCTTCGACCCCTTAGACCTGCCACCCGCAGAGCCCTCGCTAACTACCCGCTTGCCCTTGTCTTCCGCACTAAACCTCACTTCTCGCACGCCCGTCACCGCCTCCTCTCCCGCTCCCCCTGCCCCTTCCGCCCCCCCCTGTTCCGCCTCTTCCGCCTTCCCTGTCGCCGTGTTCTCCTCCGCCGCCCCTTCCGCTTCCGCCCCTCGCTGATCCGCGCGGCACAGGCGCCGTCGTTGGCGGCGATGGCGGTGCAGCCTGTCGCTGCGACTAACACCACGAGCGCCCTCATCGCCACCCCCTCCGCTACCACCGACAGCACCAACAGCACCATCACCATCACCAACACCAACACCACCCACGGCGGTGGCAGCAGCAGGAACGCCTGCACTAGCGTTTCCGGCAGCCAACGTAAGTCGCCTAACTCCCGTGCGACGCCTGGGACTGTCGCCATCGTCGTCGTCGTCATCGTCGTCGTCGCTGATGACGATAAGCGCGCCACTGCCACTATGGCCTGCAACTGTCGTCCCTTCATCCTCACTCTCCTCGTCGTCGTCACTGCTGCTGCTACTGCTACCGCTGCTTAATCCCCGGTCACTGCTGCTACTGCTCGCGCTGCCGTCGCTGCTGCCAATACCATTCCGGCCCAAAATACTCCCGATACTGTCGCTGCTCCCACCGCTGCCGCTACTGCTGCTGCTCCAAGTGGCGCCGTCCTCACCCTCTCGCTCCTCCCCCTCCTCCTCGCTGTCGCTGCTGCTCAAGCTGAACTCGCCGCCCCCGCGGCTTACCCCGGCGGCTTCCCCCCTAGCAAAATGGCGGCGAGCGGACGAGAAGATGCCCCAGGACGTGGAGTTGCGCCGCCCGCCCGGCACTCCCGCTCGTAGCCTCCGCTCGCGGGACGACGAGCGAGGGGAGGAACCCACCGTTACAGTCACTTGAACCCGCCACCCCGCTTCCTCGCTTCGACCGCCACCGCCGCCACCGCCACCGCCGCCACTGCCGACTCCAGCTCCCGCGCTCACCCCCGTTCCGACTTCCCCTCTCTCCCCCACTCCCCCTCCGCCTCCTCCACCTCCACCTTCGCCTGCCGTTCCGCGCGCTTCCCCAGGGAGTATCGACGGTTCGGAATTGCCTGCAGCGTTGGAGAGCGCTTCAGCAGAGCCGGACGCAGAACCAGTGGCGGTTGCACCAGTGCCCGTTGCTGCGGTGCCACCTACCGCAGACCCACGCATCACCGCAGCAATCCCGCTGCTTGCGCCACCGTTTGCGCCAGCGCCGTCGCCAGCCCCGCCGACTCCACCAGCGGCAGCGGTGGCGGCGGTGGTGGTGGCAGCGGCGCTGGTTCTGGCTTCAGCAGGCGCGCCTGCAAAAACAGCAGCCGCCACGGTCGCCGCTTGCTGCGACTTGCGGAAGTGGTCGAAGCAGTTGGAGTGGCGGTGACTGGTGTCGCACACGAACGTGCGACAGCCCTTCTCCAGCGACGCGCACACCAGCAGCACCGCGTTGTGCGGCGCCTCAAGGCAGATCGGGCAGCACACGCGGTCGGTAAGCTTCTTACGCGCCGATTCCGCAGTCAGACAAACCTCCTCTTCCTCCTCATCTTCCTGCTGACCCTCTCCCTCCTCTAATTCCTCTCCCTCCTCGACATCCTCCTCCTCATCATCATCATCAGGGCCTGCAGCCGCGTTATCGCCCGCCATGGCGCCGCCAGACGCAGACGCAGATGCAGCGCATCTGGACGATTCGCCAGTGCCCTTCCGCAATTTGCATCCCTTCCCCTTCCGCTTCCTCTTGCATCCGCCAACAGTTCGCGCAAGACCACCGGCGCTTCCCCCCGCGCGGATCTCCGCCTCACCTTCCGCCTCCGCTTCCGCCTCCCCCTCCGCCTCCGCCTCCGCCTCCGCCTCCGCGGGTTTCCTCCTTCCGCCAGCCATGCTACGTTTCTTAGCCTTCCGTCGCCGGCGACTGGCATCCTCCGCCCTTCGCGTTCTCCGCGTGCTTCCTTGCTCCCGCGCGGTCTCTCCCACTCTCGCCACCGTCCCACCGGTTCTCGCACCGTGACCGTCCAACCGTAGCCGTCGTCTGCGCTGCGAAGCGGCAGAACCGCCGGAAACAGTAGATCGGTTACCGGCAGCGGTTGCAGGGCGAGCGGAGGGCGATCTCCCCCGGCGGGATGGAGATCTCCTCCGCTTGCGCCTCCTGCTCTCGCCCTCCGGTCTCGTTCGCGGCTGTGCAAGCGCCGCGGTGTCCCTCCCAACCTCCCCACCATCGGTGCCTGGGACCATCGGTAACGGCGGCCCGCGCCGCAGACACGCGCTGCCTGCGGAGGCGCGCAACACGATGAAGTGAAGAAGGCGCCGGGATCTTAGGCTTGACAAAAAGCTCCAGCTAATTCCACACAGATGTGAGAAGGGCTGGGCTGGACAACAAATGAGAAATGACCACACCCCAATTCGGAAGTGTGTGAGTGAGGAGAAATGAAAAGCGAATGGATGATGAGTGATGTTTTGAGCAGAAATGGGTAAGAAGATTTGAGATTCGAGGAGCTAGGTGGTACACCCTGTTTCTCGCTACACTGAACTGTGCCGAAATGGTGCAAAACCTTGTTATCTTCGATTTGCCTAATTGAACCATACTGAAACAAAAATGAACCACCGTGAACCATGCTTTTCCCATCTTGACTTCATTATAACCGAATTCACAAATGGCGAGAAAGAGGGTGTAGAGATTTTGCCAGAGAGGGGTGCCAGCCTTCTCCTTGGGGTTTGATTGGTTCGGATTGCTTTGCCTCGGAAACAAGCTACACAAGGGAGTAGGCGAACTTGATTACGCGAGAACTCGTACCATCGCCCTCTATTAGGGCGTGTCCAGCGCGTACATTTACAGTTCATAAACCCATTCAGTTACCACATTTCCTATTGTAACACTGCATTTTACAAAAAGGTTGGACACGATCAGCTTCCGTTCACAAGACGGCACGCCCGCTGCGCGTACGACGAATCGTCTAACACACGTTACTGGAATCAGTGTGCGCGCGAACAAGGGTACAGCATTGCGTCCTGCCCGCTACAGTAATTTTCGTTCAAGCGTGGAATTTTCGCTTGTGCGTGAATTTCTGTGCGACGATAGACGAGGCAACCAGTTACCTCGTTTTCCACGAACTGTAGAAATTTGTGTGCAGAGGGTTGTGTCCGCGCGCTGGAAGGCCCAATCCTTCGGACTCGACTCACCTTATATTCGTTTTTTGGTACAGTGAGATTTTTTGAGCCGGGAAACGTGTGAAGGTACTAATATTCCCAAAATGTACGCGCTGGACACGCCCTTAGCGGCGATGACGAAGATGAGATTGGCTTTCGCGAATCACTGGTAGTAGTTTGTGGTCGTGACCACTGTTTTGCCGAGCTTGGGTTGTTGGTCAGGAAGGGTCAGCCCGAAGCGAAGTGGAGGCTTGCAAGGAAGTGCACGGTACGATTGGCCTTGAGCCATGCCATGCATGGTAATGGGGGAGGTTGGGCCGTACAGAGGCAAGCGAAGCAACTGGGCGAACATGAACGGTTTCATTTGGTCATCTCATGCAAGGACGGCTCGGATCGATACAGTGGTTTCAGGTACTGGCTACACAAGCCAGAACAGTTCATATGTAGCTAGGGTTGCTTCTGATTGGATGAGAAAGTGTAGTTTGCGTTGACGAGCGCGATGGTTTGCGGTGTGCGTCCTTGTGAGATGAAACTCCATCATATCACTCGAACCCATGCCACCATTGGTTCGGCAAGTCAGCCATCAAATGGCACCCATAGTCCATGCCACGTAAGCCGCAGTCTCCGCCAATACCAACTTTGAGTGGTTTGCGGTTGCGGGTTACCCCGACGCATCATAAGTTGTGACCAGCTACAATAATATACAACACTCACTTATGCGTTTGAACTGGTCAGGAACATAAATATTCTATAATATGGAAGGACAAGGAATTGCAGAATAAACGTCTTGGGACAAGGCCGGGCATTGCTGCCTGCCTTGAAATAGCCAGCCTGTACCATGCCCAGCTCCTGATGTGCTCCCCGATGTGTCTCTGCTTACAACGTATTGTACTATCGAGGAACGAGAAATTGACAGCTGCAACAATTATGTCGTTGCACACACAGCACGGGCCATAGGCAGATAGCCACGCATAGGCCCACAGTTCCTCACAGCATGTGTGCTTCGATGGACGACAGCAACTCAAAGGCCGCGTGGAGGAGTGGAGGAGGGATGCGTGAAAGAGGACTGACTCTTGAGGGGAGCTTGGGTGATGGCATAGCATTGACTGTGACTGGCACCCAGCAGCACTTCCCTGACATGGCACTGCAGGGAAACAGTTGAAAACGAGGCCGAAAAGGAAACATGAGCAGTGGTAGCAATGAGATTTCGCACTGTAGCACTGACTTGCAGAAAAACAATCACCTGGGACTGTCTACAAGAACAGCCATCAATCAGCACACACACAAACACGCCAAAAAAAGCAAAGAGTCCCACCTTGGAAGAAGCAGAGGCCAGGAGAGAGAGAGAGAGAGAGAGAGAGAGAGAGAGAGAGAGAGAGAGAGAGAGAGAGAGAGAGAGAGAGAGAGAGAGAGAGAGAGAGAGAGAGAGAGAGAGAGAGAGAGAGGCGGTTGCGATCAGCATCGGATGCGCTTGGGGTTGTCCCCACCAGCCGGGGACTGCAGCTCTGGCAGGAGGTCCCTGAGGTGCTGCTCTGACGGCAGTAGGTCCATTGGCCTCTTTGCTGGTGGCGTCAATAATGGCTGCCGCCTCTCCTCCTCATCTGCTGCAGCTGCTGCTGCTGTGTCACATGGCGCAGTTGCTGTTGTTTCTTCTGCTGCTTGTGCTGATGCTGCTTCGGGTTCAGCTCCTGCTGCTGCTTCTGCTGGTGCTGCTGCTTCTGGGGCGGATGAGGGTGCTAGTGCAGGTGCTGCATCTGAGGCTGTATCTGCTGGTCCTCCTGCTGGTCCTGCAGGTGTGAATACCTCTGCTGTTACGGATGGCACCTCTGCTTCCATACCTCCTTCCCTCCTCTCAATGCAACCCCCATCCCCTCCAACACCTACCATTGGATGGTCTGTGCCAGGGTCTGTGTCAAGGTCTGTGCCAGGGTCTCTGTCAGGGTCACCAACACACATGCCACCGTTATGCCTGTCGCTTGCTCCACCCTCTGCCTCTCCTGCTTCTCCTGCCACCATGCAGCCGTTACCAGCAGACTCCCTCGCATCACCACTTCCTCCATTTCCTCCACTCGTCCCTCCTTCTTCTCCTGCTGCTGCTGCTGCTGCTGCTGATGCTGCTGCTGCATCCCCCTGTGGCCACCTGTCACCACACCCATCTGCTTCTCTCGCACCTGCAATGTTCCTTGCATCACCCCCACTGCTCTGCCCTTCATCACCACACCCCCCACTGCGGATATTCCCTACCATCCCCTCCCCATCGTGTTCCTCCCCATCGTGCCCCTCCCTGTCGTGCTCCTGAACAAAATCTACCTCCTCACCCTCCCTGCTTCCGCGAACAATCGGCGAAAGCGCAGCACCATCGGCATCACCACCATCATCACCACCATCCCCACCACCATCACCATTTCCTCTTTTCTCCCTTTCCCCCCTCCCCACACCCCCACCCTCCGCCAGCCCCTCAGGAATGGCACCCAGGCTGCGAGTGTGACGGCGGGCAGAAGGCGTGGGGGCGAAGGAGGAGTGAAAGAATGGTGTGGCAGGGGAGAAAATGGTGTCGGCACCAGACGTTGGGAAGAGTGGGGAGAACAGCAGCGTGGGTGACATTAGGGGCGACGGCATAATGAATACTGCGCCGCTGCCACCACCGCTGCCACCACTGCTGCCACCACCACCACCGCCGCCGCCGCAGTTGCCTGTGCTGCTGCTCCCAGCAACTCCTCCTGCCCCTCCTGCTTTCCCCCCCACCAGCGCCCCTCCTCCACCAAAAGAACCCATGCCGGACCCACAACCACCACCGCTGCTCCCGCCGTTCCCACACGCAGCGCCGCTGCTGTTCCCAATCCCTCCCGCATCCATGCCTATGGAGCCAAAACCAGTGAGGCCGCCAGGCAGGCTCCCATGGTCGTCAGGGCCTGCGAGAATGGAGGGCGAGAAGAGCGAGGGCTCCGAGTCAAACCCCACTGCCTTCATGTCCAGAGGCGGCGGGCGGGGGAAGCGCGAGAGCAGCGAGCTCGTGCCGGGCCGTGGGGGCTTGAACGCATCTGCTGCCTGCCGCTGCTGCTGCTGCTGCTGCTGCTGCTGCTGCTGCTGCTGCTGCTGCTGCTGTGAGCTGCCTCGTCCCACTCCTCCTTGCCCTCCTCCTCCGCCCCCACCTCTTAGAGTTGTGTTGTCTGCCATTGCACCCGCACCAGCAACACTAGCAACAGCAGCGGTAGCAGCGGCAGCAGCATCGTCCTCCTCATCACCTGCAGCCATGGCCATCTCTTCCATGGGCGGCAACAGGTCCTCCCCCCTGTCCACTGCTTCTAAGGCACCTGCTGCTTCTGCTGTTTCTGCTGTTTCTGCTGGTCCTGCTCGTTCTGTTGGTACTGCTGGTGCTGCTGCTGCTATTTCCCCTACTCCTGGCCCGTGCCCGCCCACGCCGTGCTCTCTTGCTACTCTCCCTGCCCCTCCTGCTCGACTGCTGCTTCCTCCCACTGCCCGCTCTTCTCCTGCTTCCCTACCCTCACATTCTCCTGCTGCTGCAGCAGCAGCACCAGCAGCAGCAGTAGAAGCATCATTCCCCTCACAGCCCCGCCCTTGCACATCCATGGGCGAACCCCCTGCTGCCACACGTGCCTCTTCATCACCCTCCTTTGCTGCTTCTCTGCACTCTGCGGCACTCGAGCTTGGCTCACCTACCCGCTGCTGCTGCTGCTGCGACTGCTGCTGCTGCTGCGGCTGTTGCTGCTGTCTGTGTTTCGGTTGCTGCTGGCCCTGTTGCGGTTGCTCGTCTCGCATGCTCTCATCCGCCTCGTCCTCATCCCCTCCAACCACCACAAGCTTCAGAATCTTCTCCTCCTCGTCCTCTTCATCCTCCTCCTCCTCCGCCTCCTCTTCTCCCACACCCCTCTGCTCGCCCTGCCCTCGCCCTTCCAGCCCTACGCCCACACCAAACTCTCCTGCCTCCATCTTCACTCCTCTGTCCAACACACCCGCTTCCACTGCCCCTGCAACTGTTCTAGCTCCTGCTGCTACTGCTGCTACGACTGCTGGAGATGAATCAAACAAAGCGGCTGCTGCTTCTGCTGCAAGGCTGCCATTGCATCGCACACCTAGATCACCACTCATCTCGCCGTTCCTTGGCCCAAACAGACCCATTGCCATCTCTGCTACGCCTGCTCCTACCTCGCTTCCCACCCCACCTTCTCCACATTCCCCCTTGCTGCCTGCTCCTGCTCCTGCTGCTGCTTCACCTAAAGCGCCACCTTCTCTCTGCCACGCGCGCACTGAAGCCGCGGCTACTGCTGCTGCTGCTGCCGCCGCAGCGGCCGCCTCTCCTTCATCCATCTCCTCCTCCTCCTCCTCATCTAGGCGCCCACCAGCCCCAGCACCAGCACCAGTACCACCCCCAGCAGCAGCGGCAGCGGCAGCAGCGGCATGGGCCATATCGCGGCCAGTGCTACAGCTGTCTAGACTCGCTCGTCTCTGCAAACCAGCACCCTTGCTCCCTGCACCACCCGCCCCACGCTGCCAATCGCCTCCAACCCCCATTCCGCCCATTGCACACCCCACCCCTACCCCTGCCCCCCCAGAAGCAGCCCCTGCTCCTGCTACTCCCCCCGGACCCCCCATCCCCGCCCCCCTTCCCCCTCCGCCTGCCCACCCCCCTGCTCCTGCGCCCGCGCGCCTCTCACTCATGATAGAGCACCCAGCGGAATCCGCAGGCCCTACGTCCCCGCTCGCTCTGCTCATGGTGTTCCGTCCGTCCCCGCTCACCTGACCGCTCGCCTGGGGCCAATCGGAGCTTCTCTGGGGTTCTTCCGATCCTTGGGACTTGCTACCGCCACCACCACCCCAGTTCCCCTTCATTGCACGCACCAGCAGGGCTTTGAGCAGCTCCCGCTTCTGCTTCTGCACCTGCCTCGCTTCCTCGCCTCCCTCCTCCTCTCCTCCTTCCTCGTCTTCTTCCTCCTCGTCCCCCTCCTGCCCTGTCTTGCTCGCGGACACCTGGGGTTGGTGGGTTGGATCCTGCGACTGAGATTGCGATTGCGATTGCTGCTGCTGCTGCTGCTGTTGGCGTAGGAGAAGTTGTTGGAGCTGCAGCAGCAGCTGCTGCTGCTGTTGCTTCGCTGCTTGCTTCTGCTGCTGCTGTTGCTGCTCCTGTTGCTGTTTCTGTTGCTGCTGTTGTTGTTGCTGCTGTTGCTGCTGCTGCTGCTGCAGCAACAGCTGCTGCAACTGACGTAGCTGCTGCTGACGCTGCCTCTCCTGCTGTTGCTGCTGCTGCTGCTGCCGTTGCTGCTGTTCCTTCTGTTCCTGCTCCTGATGCTTCTGCCGCTGTTGCTGCTGCTGCTGCTGCCGGCGTAGCAGCTGTTGCAAAAGCTGCAGCTGTTGCTTCTGTAGCGTATCCTCCTGATTCTCCTCTTGCTGCACCTGCTGCTGCTGCTCCTGCTGCTGAACCTGCTGCTGTTGCTGTTGCTGCTGCTGCCTCAGCTTGTTGACAAGCATTAACAGGATCCCAGCACTGTCTTTACTCGCTAGAAGCTCCTTCGCTGTAGCCACTCCATCTGGGCTGTTCAGCTTTGCAAGAAGCGCAGCGGCAACAGCAGCTGCAGTACCTCCTCCCCTCCCTCCTCCGCCTCCGCCTCCCCCTCCCCCTCCGCCCCCCCCGCCGCCTCCGCCCCCGCCTCCCACCTCTCCCCCAAGTGATGCGTCCGAGGACAATGCCACAATCCCCCCCCTGTCTCTTACCCCACCACCAGCTACCCCACTCTCACTCCCCTGCCGTCTCAAATCATCCCGCCCCGCACCCGCACCACTCGCACCCCCACCCCCGCCCCCAGCACCTGCGAGTGCCCCCCAAGTGCCTCCGCCCGCACTTGCGCCACTGGCGCTTCCGCTGACGCTTTGCCGCTGTGCTATACCCGAAAGGGCGGAAACCCCCCCCGCCTTTAGCAGCGCGGCAAGCACACCCGCGTCTATTCCCCCGCCCACCACCCTCCGCGGGATCCCGCTTCCGCTCGCGCTCGCGCTGATACTCGCGCCAACGCTTGCGCTTCCGCCATCACGCCCACTTCCCCCAAGCGCGTGTCCCCCCCCTGCGCCAACCCCGCCCACACCGCTCCCCCCGCCCCCACTGGAGCGCCTCTGCAGGTCAAGCGCACCCAGCAGTCCGCTCTGCGCCACTCCCCCCCCGGCCCCGCTCTCAAATGCACTTGCTAGGGCATCCGCGCTTCTGCATCCTTCCACCATCCCATTCCCCGCTCCGCTTCCCCTTACCAACCCCGCAAGTCCCCCGGACAGCCCCCCGGCGGCGGAGCCTAGGCGCGAGCCCAGTAGCCGCGCAAGGAGCTTCCGCGTATTCGCGTCCAGGGGGTTTCCGGCCGCGGCGGAGGCAGCTGCGGCGGCTATTGCTGCGGAAAGCGCGGCGGAAGTTGACGAGGAGGCGGAGGACGGGCGCGGTTGCTGCTGCGCCTGGTGGTGGGACGATGCCGCCAGGGAGGAAAGGGGGAAAGGCGCAGCTGGCGCGGAGAGACTGGACGGGCACGGGGAGCGGGAAAGCGCTCCCCCTCCACCGCCGCCTCCCCCTAGGGCGGATCCAGACATCCCAGAGAGCGCGGAATGCTCCCGCACAGGCTGCGCGGGGGAAGAGAAGCGCCCGTCGTTGAGGTCCGCGTCGGGGCTCCTGAGGCGCAAGGGCAGAGGGGAGACGGCGGAGCCCGCGGGCAAGTACGCGCGGATAGACGACGCTGCGGGAGAGCCTCCCCGTCCCCCTCCCCCTCCCCTTCCCGCTCCCCCTCCACCCGCGGAACCTTGCCCCGCAAGAGCTGCAGCGGAAGGCCCCAGGCGCGCGGGAGAAGGGGAAACGGTGGCGGCTTCCGACGCCTCCCGCTCCGCGGCGGCCCCAGCGGCGGAGCGGGAGGCCGAGTTACTCCGCGGGCGGGGCGGGGAGGGCGGGGAGGACTCGACGAGGAGCGAGAGGTGCAGGCGCACGTGGCCGAGCAACTTGCCGTTGCGGCGGTGCACGGGTTGCATGACGTCCAGATGCCCGTCCGCGAAGACCGGCGACAGGTTGAGCTTGCACGACCCCAGTATGCGATCGCCCGCGTCCGCCTTGTCCCAGAACTGCACGTGCAGATCCTGGGGGGACACGGGGGGTGGGGGGTAGGGGGGGAGGGGGGGGGGGATGGCGCCGGGGGAATGGCGCGGGAAGGATGGCGTGGGGTGGTGGGGAAGGGATGGCGTGGGATGGTGGGGGAGGGATGGCGTGGGGTGGTGTGGGGGGAATGGCGCAGGTGGGAATGGAAAATGGAGAAGGGGAGAGCATAGATGTGTGAGAGAAAGAGAAGCGGATTGGATGAGGGAGGGAGAGTGGAAAACTGGACGCGACGGGGAACCAGAGGCGTTGGGAAGGACAATAGAAGAGTGGGGAGAGGGAGCGGGTGGGAGGTTAAGGGCTGTTGTGGAGGGGAAAGGGGGAATGGGAGAAGAGGGGAGGGGAGGAGGAACGGAAGGTTGCGGGAGTCGATGTAGCTGCGGAGAGGAGCAGCGGAGGAGGAGAGAAGCGGAGAGAAGTGGAGAGACGAGGAGAAGACAGGAGAGACGAGGAGAAGACAGGAGAGACGAGGAGAAGACAGGAGAGACGAGGAGAAGACAGGAGAGACGAGGAGAAGACAGGAGAGACGAGGAGAGAAGAGGAGTGGCGGGGGACGAGGGAGGAGAGGAGAGTTACCATGGGCCCTTGGCCGTCGTCCGGAAGGAGGAAGCTGAAGCGATGGTTCCAGACGGGCCGTGAGATTTGCGAGCACGACGTGTGCGTGCGGTGCTGAACGGAGCCCAGGCGCAGCACGGCGTAGGGATCGGACTTGGTCGTGGACTTGCTGTCCTTGAGCCCTGACGTCGATCCCACTGTCACCTCCAGGCATCGCGCCACCATTCCGATGGCCTTTTTGTTGCTGGTTTTGATCCCTTTTTTGGGGCTTTGTTTGATTATCTGATGACGTATAAGGACCACGAATTGCGGCTATGGCCGAGTGTTATTGACAATGAAAGTGTGAATGGGAAGGTGGCATCCGTGTGGGAGCGATTGCTGCTGGAAAGTCACACGCGTTGCTAAACTCAGCTGCTTCTTGCTCCTCGTCGTCTTTCTGGTGCGACGGATTGGCTCGTAATCCACCTAGCGCGATTCCAGTAGGAGAGGATATGAAACCTACATCGGAAGGTGGAGGTGAGAGAAGCAGAGTGCAGATACACGGGAGGTAACACGAGCACAGAATGAGAGGCGTCGAGTTTTGACCTAAACCACGCCGCAGCTGTCAGCGGTGCGACAGCAATAAATTACTACGACTTACGACAACGAGTTATAAGTTATTCTGCATACTTGCGTACTACTGTTCGCACGACAATGCCAGTACTACTGCTCTCACCACCCAGCCTAACCAGCAACCTCGAGAGACATCCACCTCAGGCGCAAGGAATATACAACTGGCATATCTCAGTTTCCCTTTTGCCTGATCAGTCGATCGAACGAAGAAAAAAAGGGTGGGTGTAGTGCGGCGGAGATTCCAGAAGCCCAGAAGATTTGAAAGAAGAGAGGTTGGTTTGGCTGGGTGTTGCGGCTTGGTTGGTTGGTTTGGGAGAAACGGGTGTGGTTGGTTGTTGGGGGAAGGAGTAGCAAGGCAAGTATCGGGGCGGGGGATGGTTTGGGTGGATGCGAAGAGGTGAAGGGGGAAATGGCGGGTGCAGGCAGGGTGCAGGCAGGGGAAGGGATGATGAAGTGATGATGATGATGAGTTGACAATAAGCATGCTCGCGAAATTCGCCACGTCGCCCTTGTGGGAGCGATTGCGAGGTCCTTGTAACTCGCTAATTGCGAAAATCTCGTGCGAGAAAAAAGGTTGCAGCGGGCGGGGGTGACTGGCGGAACTGAACGGAATAGGTTTGCATGGAGCCGTACCACCTAACCACAAGCGGAGTTCTCAAGGGTGGGAGGATGTGAGTTGCGTTGCATCCATCCCCGAGGCAATCACTTTACTCGAACCAGTAGTGTAGGTATGGCTTTCAGGTGTACAGTTGGGTTTCTTTTCCAGTAGGGCAGAGATAAATCTGATGCGTCAGGATCTCCACCAACCACGCCACCGCATTTGACTCCCAACAACTTCCCCGAGGCTGGGGGATGTGTGAGCTGGCACACAGCAACAGAATGACCTCGCACATTCACAGGGGGCACTTGCCGCTAAATGAATGAGAATGTGTAATTGTTACGAGTGCAATTGAGTGAACGAACGAGAATTGCACTATCGAAGCAAGAGTACAATGAGCGAAGGCATGAGCGAAGAATATATAGCGAAACTACAGTGGTAACGGTAATGGACTGTGGTTGTCGCGCGACGGGCCTGGGACTGAGGTTGGGAAAAAGTGTCGAAGCGGAGGCCCGGAGCGCGGGTTACCCGCCGAGCCGTGAGGTCGGGGTGCGACGTGCGAAGGTGGCGGGCAGATTGTCGATGCGAGGGTTGCGAGTGGTAACGGTGCTGACTGTGGTGCTACAGTGATGTACGCGTTGAGCAGGGATGCGAAGTAAGGAAAAGGGATTTTCCTTACAGTAATGAAGCACAATGCATTTCCAACAAGTTACGCTAGCACACTTATATAACCTGCATTTTAGGCCAGTGCTACATAACATAACATATACCGTACCTTAACTACAGCACATCAGGTCCTTGAATCCGTTCACAATTCACAATGATTATGCCCCACCCACGAGCAGCACATGAAGCATGATAAATGCAATTTCCTACCTCTACCTACTCACTGTCTGAAGGACCTAATAGAGTCTTCAACCCAACCCAATGTCAATCCACATGCAGCAGAATCATACGGTACTTACACGGGCCTCTGAGGGCCCCCCTACGCTCAGCTACAAGCAAGAGCCAATGGACTCACACAACGCCCTTCATTACAAGAACGGTCAGAAGAGGGGACTGAGTAGCTGATGGGGGAAGGAGGTGTGGAGCGGAGAGGAGAGTTACTGTTGAAACGGGGGGCTCTTGTGCGTCGGTTTGCACTGGAGGTGTGTTGATGCAGAGAGAAAGAGGGGCACTTGCGACGCCTGCAGAAGCCTGTTGCAGCCATGCCTGGTAAAATTTCAGAGGGTATAGGTTCCAGGTGAGGAAAACAGAGACGTATGGAAGCGACGAGGGAATCAGACAACAGGATCTAAACAGTGAAATAAATGTGCATGTTTTTCGCTTGCTTGTGCGCACGCCCACCCACACACCCACACAAACACCACACCCTCTCTCCATCGCCCTCCCCCTCAACCTCACCCCTTAACCCCAGCTTCTCCTCCCCCTTTCCCATCCCCCCCGCTTCCCCGTCACAATCATCCTTACCTGAACAGCAGCTCTTTGCGTCTCGGGAAGAGGCGCAGGGAGGCACGTGCCGGGGGCAAGAGCGGAAGGGGGCAGGCCCAGCAGGAGGGGCAGGGCAGGGTTGGTCAGCAGTAGGCGCCCAGAGGGGGCCTGCAGAACAGCAAAGCCCAGAGATGCCTGCGCGAGCAGGTTGCTGGGGGGGGGGGGGGGTGAGGGGGTTGGGGGTTGTGGTGTAGATTTGGATTTAATGAGGCACCTAAAAAAGGAGTAGGCGCCCAAAGGGGGGCTGCAGAACAGCGAAGCCCAGAGATGCCTGCGAGAGCAGGTTGCTGTGGGGGGGAGGGTGTGGGGGGTTGTGGGATTGGATGGGGGGGTTTGCGAGGGAAGCGGTGGTGGGGGAGGGGGAGGAAGAGAGAGAGGGAGATAGACAGAGGGACGCAGATCAAGAGTGGATACAAAGATGGCGGAATGGGGATTCGAGTCGAGCAGTGGCAAGCTGAGCGCTGGGTAACCAGATGGACACACAGGAGCAAGGGGAGGAGAGCGCGGGGGGTGGGAGGGGGAGGGGGAGGGGGGAGGGGGAGGAAGGGGGGGTGAAGGGATGAGGAGGAGTGGGAAAGTTGGGAGCCTGGGATAGAGAAGGGCTTTTACCTGAACCACGACTCAGCAGCGCCAGCGCACTTGGCACACACAGCAGCAGCAGCAGCATCAGCACCACACCAGTTCCCCATGTGTCCATGGGCATGGTCATGGGCATGGTCATGTGCATCTACTGCCACCATATCCTCCACCTCCCCTTGCCCCTCCCCCCCTTCCACATCAGCCATCACGGCCACATCACCCTCCTCCTTGCCTTCACTCCCATGCTCCACTACGCTACCATCCTCCTCCTCACTCCCCCCACCACCATTCTCCTCGTTCCCTTCCTTCTCCTTGTCCTTCCCTTCCTTCTCCTCACTGCTCCCCGCTCCCTTCTCCTCCTTCTCCTCCTCCTCCTCCTGATCCCCATGCGTGCCCTCCTTCTCCAGGGCATTCGTCTGCTCCTGCACACTCCTCAGACCACCCAGCATGCGCTCTAGTGCTGCCATTTCCTCTTCCAATTGCTGCAGCTCTCGCCTAACCGCCTCCTCCCTCGCTTGCTCTTGCACCCTCTTATCCTCTGCCTCTCGTTCTGCCTCTGCCTTTACCTTTGCCTTTTCCTCTGCCAGCTGGCTCGCTTCATCCGCCTCCCCCCTCCCCACAGCAAGCACCACCGCGGTTGCATCAGCATTCTCGTCGCTCCCCACAACCAAGCCTGCTTCGCCCCTCTCATTCCTTGCATTCTCACCTCTGCCTTCCCCCCCCATATCTACCAACCTCCCCTCCATCGGTGCACCACTCGCCGCCTTCCCATCTCCCTCCTCACCCCTCTCCCTCTCCTTATCCTTCGCTGCCTCAGCGTCCCGCCCATCCCAGATGTCTTCCCTCCTCCCAGACTTCATTTTCATTAACATCGGTCCGCGTACAGGCCTCGCTGCTGCTGCCGGCACTGCTGCTGGTGGTGCCACTCCTACTCCTACTCCTCCTCCTCCTCCTGCTGCTGCAGCTGCTGCTGCCTCGGCACCTCCTACATCAGCAGACCCCTTCCGCTCCCCCTCTTCCTTCCCCTCATCACTCCCTCCAAACAGCCCATTCTCACCTCCCCTCCCTCCCTTCCCTGCCTCATCACCCGTGCCTCCCCGCACCCCGCCCTCCTCACTTCCCACGCGTGTCACAGCGCTATCAGCCAGATCCTCCCGCCGCCCAGACCGCAGCTTCATCAGCATCCTCCGCGGATCAGGCCTCTCCGCCACCACCACCACCTTGCCAGCGGTATCGTTGTCCCTCTCTCCCTCGTCTGCTCCCTTCGCTAGCCCACGCTCACCTGCACCAGCAGCACCAGCGGTACCAGCAGTACCAGCAGCAACAGCAGCACCAGCGAAACCACTGGCAGCACCAACAGCGTCTGGATGGCTCTCACCTGTCTCTCCCACACCATCTCCCCCAGACACACTGTTTCCACTGCCCTTGCCACTCTCCTCATTCGTTCCCTCCCCAGCCCCACCTGCTTCTCCCATTCCCCCGCGCCCTCCTCCCCCTCCTCCTCCGGACACCCCTCCTGGCCCCACCGTTCCACCGCCCAATCCCCCTGGGCCCAATCCTCCTGCCCCCAACCCCCCTGCCCCGGTTGATCTACCCAGAGCACCAAAGTCCAGGTCTCCCCGGGAACCACTCCGCCTGCCCGACCGTAGGCGCATCAGCATTCTCCGAGGCTCCAGCTTCTCAATCCCCGTCACCCCCTCCTTGTCCCCCCTGCCTTCCTTGCCCTCCCTGCCCTCCCTGCCCTCCCTGCCCTCCCTGCCCTTCCCACCACTCCCCTCCCCGTCGCCCTCCCTCACTCCCTCTCCTGCCCCCTCCCCTGCAACCTTACTCCCCTCGCTGCTCCTGCTCTCCGCCACCTTCACCTCACCATTCTTCCCCTCGCCTGCCCTTCCTTCACCATCACCCGCGTCCCCATCAAGAGCAGCACGCAGGTTCATTGCCGCATAATCCATCTCCCCACGGGACCCCCCCCTGCGACCGGATCGCAGCTTCATCAGCATCCTCCTCCGGTCCGCCCCTGCTTCTGCACCAGCACCAGCAGCGGCAGCAGCGCCAGCAGCAGCAGCGGAATCAGGAGCAGCAGCAGAAGCACCACCAGCAGAAATACCAGCAGGCAAGAGATCTCCAGCAGAAGAAGAAGAAGCAACAGCATTAGCGGCAGCAGCAGCAGCAGCAGCAGCGCCTGCGCCCCTCTCAGAGCCCCACAGGCCCCTCCCCTTGGCCCTGGGCCCAGGGGTGACAACCTCAGGCCGCAGCCCACTGCGCCCCACGCTCCTGCTCCGGACCGGCTCATCCAACCCTCCAGACACGTGCAGCCGCGGCACAAACGCCGCGAAACTGTGCTTCTTGCCCTCTCCCCCTCCCCCTGCTCCCCCTGCTCCCCCTGCTCCCCCCCCTGCTGTTGGTCCAAGTCCACCACCCCCGTCTCCTCCTCCTCCCCCTCCTGCTGCTGCTGCTGCTCCGCCTGGCCCTGCTGCCCCTGGAGGCTGGGAAAGATCAATGTCTCCAGCAGCAATGCTGTCCCACCCCTCGCACACCCACATGTCCCAGTTGCCCTTGATCAGCTTCTTTGGCTTGGGCATCCCGGGGAACCCTCCTGCCCCCTTGCTGCTCTCGCTGCTGCTGCTCTTGTTGGAAAAGAGTGCGTTCATAGGGGCCAGCCACCGCGCTCCGCCTACCCCTTTGCTCCCCAATCCCTTCAAACCTCCTCCTCCGCCTCCTCCTCCTCCCAGATCGGCCCATTCCTCCGCAAGCCCTCCCTTCTTCCCTCGCCGCGCTCGCTCCTTGTCGGACCCTCGAACTCCTTTCAGCCTGACACCAGCATCACCAAAACCACCACCAGCAGCAGCAGCACCACCACCACCACCAGCACCACCAGCACTGCTGCCGCTGCTACTCGTGCCAGTCCCCTCCCCGCCACTGCTGCTGCTCCTGCCCACAGCCACAGCAGCGCCCCACACTTGGCCCCCCGCCAGACTCACCACCTTGCTGGTGGCCCTGGGACTGCTAGGCGCAGACGTCCCATGAATCAGATCCCCCGCCGTCACCACCTCCCCCTCCCCCTGTTCCGCCAGAGCCAAGGATGTCAGTGCGGCTTCGTCCTTCTCCCTGTCGCGCCCGCTCTTGAAGCTAGACGACCGCCACATGGCCCGCCCTGGCGTCTGCACCTCCATGAACCGCCTCCTTGCAGGCCTCCCTGACCGCTCCCCCACACCTCCTCCCACACCTCCTCCAACAACCCCCATACCCACACCCGCTGCTGCTCCCGCGCCTGTCCCGCCCATACCTCCCACCGCTAACGGAGGCTTGAAGCCCAATCCTCTTGCACCCCCCCCCCCACCTCCTTCCGACCCATACTCCCCCCCCGGCGTCCCGTCCCCTCCATCCCCAGCCTCTCCAACACTCTCCCCCAAGTCGCTCCCCTCGTCCTCTCCTCCCCCGCCCGATTCATCATCCCCCTCTGTGGGGATAACAAGGCTCAGCGAGTTCTTCAGGGAAGGGGGGCCGTGGGGGAGAGCAGGGGGGCCGTGGGGGAGCGAAAGAGGTGGCGCTGACGTGCTGCCTGTGCTGCTGCTGCGCCTGACGAAGGAAGGAGGGAGACTCAGGCGTACAGGCGAGTCGTCTCTTCCTACTACTGCTACCCCTGCTCTTGCCCCTACTCCTCCTGCTGCCATCCCACTCGCACCCTGACTCTTGCTACGTACAGGGGAACCATCACCTTCCTCCTCCTGCCATTTGCTGCTAGCAGCACTTTCAACAGCAGCAACTGCTGCAGCTGCTGTTGCTCTCCAATCTACGCCCCCTCCTGCTCCCCCTCCCGCTCCCCCTCCCCCTGCACCCCCCCCCTTGTCATACCCAGGCCCAAACGACACCTGCATGAGGCGAGACCCCTCAGAATCAGAGAGGGACGCTCCTCTGGAGTGAGAGCGGCGGCGCCTAGGGAACAGCCCCCCAGCAGCAGGAGCAGGAACAGCGGGGACAGGTGCAGGCATGGGGACACCAGCAGGGGCAGGCACAGGGAGAGGTACAGGAATAGGAGCAGGGACGGGCGCGGGGACAGGGGCAGGGGCAGGGACAGGGAGAGGTGCGTGTACAGGAGATGCTCCCCCTCCTTCTCCTCCTACTCCTCCTACTCCTCCCACTCCTCCCGCACCTCCGCCCCTCTGCTTCTCCCCTGGAGGAGGGCGATTGGAGAAGATAGAGTAGTGTGAGGAGGAGGAGGGGGTTGAGGCGTCCCTTCCTGACGATCCTCCCTTCTCCCCAAAGCCTCCCACTGACCCCCACCGCCGAATCAACCGCCTTCCGGGTGTCTGCACTTCGAACCCATGCCGCTCCCACCACCCTCCTCCTTCTTTCCCTCCTTCTTTCCCTCCTCCTCCCCCACCCCCAGCAGCAGCAGCAGCACCCCCAGCCTCACTGTCCCCTCCCTTGCTGCTGCCCCCACTATCCGGACCACTGTCAAACGAGGTAGGGTCGGAGATCACAAGCGACAGCGGCGCCGAGCCTCCGCTATCCGAGCCTGGGGACGAGGCTAGGCGAGACGGGGCCTTCCCTCCTGCGGAGAGCAGCGAGGCGAATTTCCGCATGAGCTTCTTTGACCCACCCACCGAAGCACCACCACCACCACCATCAGCAGCAGCGGCGGCAGCAGAAGCAGAGGAGGAAGAAATGGCGTCGCCGTCCTCATTATCGTCTGATGTGGCGCTGATGCTGGTCGGGATGGTGCCGGCGGCGTGGCGGTTCGCTATGGCAGCAAGAGAAGCAGCAGTGTCCACACTGACAGAACACGGCAGGGGACCGGGACCACCTCCACCCATGCTGCTGCCACCGGCGCGAGCGGCAGATGAAGGCACAGGAAGGCGAGCACCAGCACCAGCCCCAGACCCACCACCAGCACCGGCAGCAGCAGCAGCACTGCCAGCAGGGAAGGAGCGGACGAGTGCGAGTGTGCCGACGACAGCTCTTGGGTCGGGCACAGGGCGGCAGGGCTGTAGCGTGAGGTCCACACTGTAGCCCGCTAGATTTCCCCTCAGGGACTCCGGCAGGGAGAAGCTGTAGAGCGGGTGGGGAGCGGAAGGGACGGCACGAGCAGGAAATCGGGGATTGGTTGAGGTAGTGTACTTGCAGATGCATGCATGCATGCATGCACTTGAACCAGCGGACCTGTCACCTGTGGTCCTGTGGGTGCTACAGCTGTGAGACATTCTTCTCCACGAGCTGCAAGGAGGGAGGGTGGGTGAGTCTAGGGTATGGGCCAATTGATAGTCGGCTGCTGGTTTTGGTCTTACTTGCCTGGACCTGTCACAGCATTGATAGCAGCAGGACGGATTGGTTGAGAAAGGCAAGGGCAGCTGGAGGGGAAGAGAATGATTGAGATGAGGTTCTGAGAAGAGTGAGAGGGAGTGTGAGACATGTGGTGAGGTGTTGTGTTGCATGAGGGAGGGTGGGACAAAAGCAAAGGAGGGGGAGGAAGGGGAGGAGGGGGGTTTGATTGTTTCCGCGAAAAACGACGGCACGAAATGCAGACATCCGCTCAGTGACTGCCTCTCGCTCAAAAGCCGCTCAGTAACATTGAATTAGTGATGGTGTCGCCGTGGCAAGGTAATTCCTTTCCTTTTCTTTTCTTTTCTTTCCAACTCAAACCGTAGTTCCTGGTTTACCTTGTGCATGGCATACTGGTCACTGCAACTTGCATCGCACAGCTTTGTGTCCCCCCAAAGCTACAGGTGCTTCCTCACCTACTCCCTCTTCCCCCAACTTAACCACCCAACCCTCAATCTCACCCACCCCTTTCCCATCCATCCTCCCCCTATCACACTCCCTCTCTCCCCACCCTTTTTGCCCCATGCATTCTCCTCCCATACCTCATCTCATCCTCTCCATTTACTCATCAACGTCCCCCTATTCCCCCCCTTTCTCCTGTCCTTCCTACCCTCCCCCCAGAAAAGCAGTATCTTCTCTTCGCCCCCCTCCCTAACCCACCCCTCCCCACTCCCCCCACCAAAACCCTCCCCTCACCGCAGCACAGCGGTGGCCCCCTCGCCCCCCGCGAACACGTCCGCGACGGCGGAGCGCCACTGCGCCATGCGCACGCCCTGCGCCACATCCAGCAGCGACACGTCCGCCAGCTGCTCACGGCTCAGGCCCACCGCTGCCACCGCCGACCCGCTCGCCTGCGGAGGGGAGTATGTGTATGAGGGATGCGCGGAACGTGCGGGGACACGCGCGCGCACGCGCGGGGAACGAGCGAGGGGCACCCGGGGACGCGCGGGGGGCGAGCGGAGAGGGAACAAGGAAGGGAAGAGGAAGGAGGGGAGTTGTAAACGGGACGTGACGGAAGGGAGCGGCGGAGTGGGAAGTGCATCGGTGAATGGGGAAGAAGGATGTATGACAAGAGCAGAAGCAGATGAAAAAAGTGGTGGGTTTGCTCCTTATGATCTCAGTCTATTACCTTGTCTGTATGCATGCAGTGCAAGCAAGCAACAAATTCTCCTCTAGCATTCGTTATCGTCCCTTACTCATTCTCCTTTCTTGCCTGCCAGTTTCCGATCAACCTACCGTCACCACGTGTTCCACACACACGCGACACGTGGTAAACACACAAAGCACAAAGCGACGAGGCGAGCCGCACCTGTACGACGCGGCCCGTCCAACGGTCCAGCAGCATCATCATGGCGCGCGATTGCCCCACAAACATGCTCGCGTGTGACGACGACAGCGGGGGGAGCGCGGGCCCAGGGAGCGCGCCAGACGGCGGAGCATTGGCGGAAGGAGCCGCGGGTAAAGGCGGGGAAACGGTGGAGGAAGGAGGGGGGTAACTGGGAGCGGGATTTCCGGCGGAGTACGAGGGGTGGACGGGCGACAACGTCGGGGAGTTGGTGGACAGCGAGCGCGTGAACACCGGAACCCGGCCTCCGCCGCTTCCGATTCCGCTTCCGCCTCCGCCTCCCCCACGAGTACCTCCGCTGTCAGCGATATCACTACTACCGCCGCCTAAGGCGCTGCTGCTTCGCGCAGACATATCCGCCGCCTCTCCTAAAAGAGGCGCTGGCGGAGGGGTCCCCATTGCGCGGACGGTTGACGGAGGGCCGGGGGAAGAAGAAGGGGAATACGACTGGTTGCGACGGCGCTGCATTGCCGCGAGATGCGGGGGGAGGAATTGGTGAGGGGAAACGGGACCAGTGGAAAGAGAAGAGGAGGAGACCGACGGCGCCGCTACTAGCAAGTCGTTGCTGCTGCTCCGCCGCCCGCCTAGGGCGGAATTGCCTCCGCTTCCGCCTAAGTAAGGGGAGCTGCTATTGGAAGAGGTTCCGCCAGCGAGAGAAGAGGCGGCTAAGCTGCCGCTGCTGTGGGAGGAATGGTGGTGCGGACGAGGCATGGACGGACCCGGGGAACTATCTACAGAATCCATTAGCGAGATTCGCAAACGGTCGCTGTTACCAGACTTGTCGCCGCAGCTGGTGCCACTTCCTTCGCTTAACCCAGCTTCCGGAGAGTCGGCCCGCGATACCGCGGCGGAAGCGGCTACAATGCAGTGATGGTCTTGGTTATCTGTGATCGCCGGGACGTTAGAGCGTCGCTTGAGATGATCTGTAGTGCGACGGGAAGGATCGAATGTGTTTTCTGAGAATTCTCAAAAAATACAATGCAGTGGTCTTGGTTATCTGTGATCGCCGGGACGTTAGAGAGCCGCTTAGTATGATATGTGGTGCGACGGGAAGGATCGCAGACGGTGGATGCTGACGAAGCGATGATTGCGCGTGCGGAATTGAAGGTAGGGCTGTGGGCCATTGAGAGGGGTTCGGTTCGGAGAGAGCGAGAGGGGTAGAGAGAGCAAGAGGGATCGAAGGCGGGAGACGAGAACCACGATGACTATCTATGTGACCACACCCGCAAATGCCGCTGAATTCAGTCTATGGCGGCGAACCCGCGAGGCATTTCGCACCAGGGCTGGCGCCACGGGTGGAAGAGCGTCGGCGACATTAGCCTTACCATGCTGGTAAACGTCTCGTATTTGACCTTTCAATGGCGAACGAACAAAATAGCGTTCCTCTAAGCGTCAGGAAGAACGCCGACCACCAACATGTCATGTGAGGACGAGCCAGGTTTTGTGTTTGGTTCGGTATTGGCAATGGCTCCTCTCCCTCTTCCTATGACGACATTATCCTGGTGAATGCCGCCGGCTTGTCGGAGGTCAACGCTGCGTTTCGGATACATTCATCAACCTTGGGATACAGTGCATTCCGATGTGAAATGACTGCGTGCGACAGAATCCTAAATGGCTGGAGGCTTGAGAATGAGATACAGTACGGAGCAGGGTAGACTGAACCTGGAGTAGGAAGTAGATGCACGCAGCAAGACAGCGAACCAGACACGTGGGATGGGCTGGAAGGATGAGGTGAGGTAGTTGGTTTGGAGGTGTTGGCTTTTAACGAGTATGAATTGGTGGAAGGGAGGGAGGCGTGTGTGTGAATGTTGTTACAGCACATAGATGCTATTAACTGTACTGTACAGTATTAATGTGGCGTGTGTGGCACAGTCCACTGACTAATGCAACTCGCTGGCCTGAGGGCGGCGGTGGTGCTCCTGTTTCTCCTCCCCTCCTCACCTGTACCCAGGTTGGTGTGGGTTGGGTTCGGTTATGACGACACCTCGGTGTTGAAACTGCAGACAATGGGCTGCTGCACATCACCTCATCTATGTGGAATTTGATGGGCAGGTCGACTCGCGGTAAAAAATGGGTGCAAGAATGCGGCCGAATCGTACTGGCGTGCCTGAGAAAATGGTGACCCTCGGTACAGTACATGTACCCGTGCACACGAAGTGGAGTTTGGTTCAACTTATGTACGCTCTTAGGTGCACTAGGGACAACTAGGTACAGGAAGCACCTCTAAGGCCAGAATCTATCCCCGTGATCTTTGCATCTACTTCTGCACACTCCTGAAAACAAGTGCCATGTTACGAGTGCAATTGAGTGAACGAACGAGAATTGCACTATCGAAGCAAGAATACAATGAGCGAAGGCATGAGCGAAGAATATATAGCGAAACTACAGTGGTAACGGTAATGGACTATGGTTGTCGTGTGACGGGCCTGGGACTGAGGTTGGGAAAAGTGTCGAAGCGGAGGCCCGGAGCGCGGGTTACCTGCCGAGCCGTGAGGTCGGGGTGCGACGTACGAAGGTGGCGGGAGGATTGTCGATGCGAGAGTTGCGGGTGGTAACGGTGCTGACTGTGGGGCTACAGTGGTGTACACGCTGAGGGGGGACGCGAAGTAAGGAAAAGGAATTTTCCTTACACTACCCCCCCCCCCCCCTAAGGAGGTCCTCCTTACGAAAGTGCGTGTACATCCCTGAAGTTTCGGCTGCGCAGATACTCGGTGAGGACGGGGTGGTTTTCGATTCTGTCCAGGGGAACCCAGTTGTCTTCGGTGGGTGTACGGTCTTTCCAGCGGATCAGGAACTCGATCCTTCGGGCTCCTCGAGGGTCATGAACTCGGTGGCTCGGGATTTTTTCAGGGGTGATGATTGGTTCAGTTGGCGGTCGTGTCATGCTGGCTGGGCGAGTGCGTGGCAGTTGGCTCGTGGACGGGACGTAAGGGCAAAGCAGACTGACGTAGAATGAGGGGCTAACGTACCAGTCAGCAGGGAGGAGGAGGTGGGCGGTGACGGGTGTGATCATGTGGCTGATGCGAAATGGTCCACAGTATCGGGGGCGGAGTTTTGGGGTGATGGGCAGGCGGAGGTTCTGGGTATCAAGTAAAACCAGGTCGTCGGGCTGGTAAGTGACAGGTCTGCGGTGGCGGCCGGCGTTACGTTTTGCGATGATGTTGGATTTTTTTATTGCATCTGCTGCCCAGGTCCATGCTGCTTGTAATATTTCGGCGAACTGTTGCGCTCGTGGCACTGGGTTGTCGGGATTCGGGGTCATGGGTACTGTCGGGTCTTGTCCGTAGTTTAGGTAAAATGGTGACTGTTGGGTCGTGGCGGATGGCGAGTTGTTGTACGCGAATTCGATGAGTGGCAGTTGCTGTTCCCACGTGGCCGGGTCGTCGCACGTGGCCCTGATGAGAGCTGTTCCATGGTCTGATTTGTCCGTTCTGTCTGTCCATCGGTTTCGGGGTGGTATGATGAACTGAACTGCATTCGCGTGCCGAACTGCTGCCACAGGTTCCGCCAGAAGTTGCCGGTGAATTTTGTGTCGCGGTCGCTGATTATTGCTGCTGGTATCCCGTGCAGTCGAACGACGGTGGAGATGAAGAGTCGTGCTGTTTCTTCGGCTGTGATTGATTTTTTGCAGGCTGCAAAATGTGCCGTTTTCGTCAGTCGATCGACGACGACCAGGATCGCGTCGTTCCCACTCGCCCCGGCCGGTAACCCCGTGACGAAGTCCATCGTCACCTGCTGCCAAGAACGCTCTGGAGGTGGTATCGGCTGCAACTGTCCTGCCGGCCGCTGCCTTGATGATTTCATAAGCTGACAAGTGGGACACGATGCCACGTGTCGTTGTACGTCGGTCAACATTTCGGGCCAGTAATAATACCGCTGCAGCTGCTGCCGTGTTTTTTCTACTCCGAAATGCCCCGAAGTAACTCCGTCATGTGCCTCCTGTAACAGTAATTCCCGTAGCAGTGTATACACAGGCACCCAAATGCGGTCAATCCCCAATTTTACGTAATAGACTCCCCTTGCTGCTGCAAACTGCTGCGAATTTCCTCCTGTGAAGAATGGGTCCGTTTGGTACCCGTGGGTAAATAGGCCTGTCAGTAGTGGGCTTGTCTGGGCGAGTAGTATTGCGTGGATCTGGGCAGTGGGGCGGGTCAGTGCGTCGGCGATGTTCGAGGCTCCCTTTTTGTAGGTGATCATGTAATGAAAATTTGACTCGAGGAAGTCGACCCAACGAATCTGTCGTGGGTTGAGGTGTGGCTGTGCGCGGAGGTACTGTAGTGATTTATGGTCTGTCCGTACTGTCACGTCTGCGCCGGTCAAGTAACAGCGCCACACCTTGAACGCGTGCACGATCGCAAGCATTTTGCGGTCGTGTATCGGGTAATTTTTCTCAGGCGGATGCAGTTTTCATGACTCGTATGCGATGGGCTGTAGGCCGTTGCCAAAGTCCTGTAGCAGTACGGCTCCGATGGCGATGTCGCTGGCGTCAGTAACTACTTCGAATGGGCGGTGTGGGTCAGCGATGCGCAGGACGGGCGGCGAACAGAGAACAGTTTTCAGGGCAGAGAAGGCAGCATGCTCTTTCTCCCCCCACGTAAAAGCGACCCCTTTCCGTAATAAGTCCGTCAGTGGCGCCGTCAACCGTGCCATGTCGGGGACGAACCGACGCACGTAGTTTACGAACCCTAAGAAACTCTGCAGTTCCGTAATATTCGTCGGGGGGTGCCAGGCTTTTACCGTGTCTAACTTCTTTGGGTCAATTTCGACCCCAGCCTCCGAAATAACGTGCCCCAAAAACTCTAACCTGTCCCGAAAGAACTCGCACTTGGAACCCTTTGTCAGTAGTCGATGCTCGTCTAAAATCTTGAATACTGCTCCCAGATCTGCTAAGTGCTGCTGCTTGTCGTGACTGTAGACGAGGATGTCGTCGAGGTAAACTATCACGCATTTATCTAAAAGCGGCCTAAACGCCTCGTTCATGGTCATCTGAAAAGTCGCCGGTGTGTTGGTCAGCCCGAATGGCATCACAGTGTACTCGAACGACCCGTACCTAGTCCTGAAAGCTGTCTTGGCGCAGTCCGATGGTTCGACCCTAATCTGATGGTAACCTCCCCTTAAATCTATTTTCGAAAAAACCCGTGCTGTTCGCAGTTGGTCGATCAGTTCGTCGGCGCGGGGAATGGGGTACCGCGACTTGACTGTTACCCTGTTCAGTGCTCTGTAGTCGATACACATGCGAAAACCCCCGTCTTTTTTCGGTGTGAACAGTATCGGTGCGGCGAACGGTGACGAACTCGGTCGGATGAATTTTTTCTCTAACAGGTAATCTAACCGCTTCCTCAGTTTGTGGAGCTCTGGCTGTGTCAGTCGGAATTGTCGCTGTACAGTTGGCTGTGCCCCCGGTTCTAATTCTATGCGGTGGTCATGTGCCCGCTGAGGTGGCAGTCCTTCTGGTAAGTCGTCCGGAAAAATCCCGGGGTATAGTTTCAACATTTCCTGTAGTTCGGGCGGTACTGCTGCTAACAGTTTCTGAAAATCGCTCGGCTGCTCTGCTTCTTCTACTAAGGCAATGTCCACTGCGTACACGTCAGCTCCAGCGGCGACTCCCCGTTTCATCGAGATGGCGTTGACGTGGACCGTTGAAGACTCAAGCGACTGCCAGCGAGGTAGTTCGATCCAGTTACCACTACTTCGCACAGTGCAGCTTCCTGTCGTCCAATCAATTCTCGGGTTGTATCGTCGCAACCAATCACGTCCCAGTGAAATGTCGTGCCCATCCAGTGTCGTCGCGAGCATTTCCTGTGTAAACCCGAAGTTTCCCCCGCAGCGAACTTTTACTCTTTCCACCTTCTCCCGTTTGGCCAGCGGCGTGCCGTCAACTAAGCGTGCGTCTATCTCAGTTAAACAACGGCTAAGTGTCAGTTGCAGTTTCCGTGCGGTTGCGGTATTAACTAAACTGTCACTTGCTCCTCCGTCGATAAAAATCTTCACTACTGCTCCCTGTATTTTCCCGTGGATCAGTACTGGGCAATCCGTCGCTGTACCCTCCTTATTCGTCTGAGTCCGATCGATAGCATGAATCGGTACTCTGACTCGGTGAGGGTCGGTGGGGTTGGGCGAGCAGGCAGTCTCGTCAGTAGTTGGCCCGATTCCTACTGACTGCTGGCGTTTCCCTTCCTTGGAGACTCCCTCCCCTGCTCTGCTCCGCGGCGCCTTAGCTCCTCTGGGCATTCACTCTTGCGATGGCCCGGCCTATTGCAAGCAAAGCAGCGCCCCTTAAACGGCGCGGCAGCTGCGTTCGTCGCAACGGCGTGTACCGTGGCGTGCTCGGCCGGTCCCCGAGGACGATGTCCGTAGTAGGACCCCGGTCTCGGACGGCGTAAAATGTCGATTTTCTCGGCGAGCGCGAGAATCTCGTTGAAGTTCGAGAGCCCGCGTAGCATAATTTCGTGCGAGATGTCCAGCTTCAGCCCTCCGACGTAACGGTCCACCCGCTCCGCTTCGTGCATGTAGCCGACCTGCTCGCATAATGCGAGAAAACCACTCGTATAGTCTTGAACCGACCCGAGCTGCCGCCAAGTGCGCAATCTCTGCCGCGCCGAAATAGAAGTCGCGATCGGCTCGAAGCGCGCCCGAAGCCCTGCGCACCACGCATCCCACGTGCTGTATTGGGCGGTCTCGCAGAATGAACTCCAGGTGACAGCTGGACCCGTGGGCCCTTCCTCTTGCGACGGTGGCTCGTAGGCGCGTGGCGACGTCACGATGACTCGCCACCAGTCCATGGCGGGGCCCCTTAGCAGCGAAACGGCATACCGAATCTTCGCTGCGTCCGACTCGACGTAATTCGCGTCGAAGAAGACGTTCATCGTGAAGACCCACGATTGAACCGTCGGACCTCCACGCTGGCTCGGGTCGAAGCAGGGCGGGCGTTGCGGCTTGAGTGGCATTGGTGCCATAATGGCCTGTTCGCCACTTGTCGCCGCGAACTCCACGTGCCGACGGGCTTCGCGAGGCTCCCGCGGGCTTGGTGCGACCCTGTTTCCTCCCATGCCAGGCATCGGCTGGGCGGTGCCATCACTGGCTGCGCCTGAGCGCTGTCCCATGCTGTTGTTTTGTGTTGGTGTGCCGGACGAAATGACGATCGGCTCGTCCGATTGTGCAGTTGCATTTGTCGGTGCGTGTGGTGGCGTGTTCACCGCTGATTGCTGACGCGCGGAGTCACGTTCCGCCGTGAGCGTCGCAATTTCGAGCGCCGAATCTTCAAGTTGGCGCAACAGACGGTCGAGCTGCTCCTGCGTCAATTTTGCGAGCGTGAATTCGGCCATGGCGGGGGTGTCGGGCGAGCTCAACGAGAGCCTCGGTCGTGGCCGTGCGTGCTTACGAGAGAGCACTACGGGCGGCGGTGCTGTGTCGCTGAGAGACGTCTACCCCCCCCCAAAAAATGAGATAGTGGGGAAGCGAAGGTGTGGGTGTGGTCCGAGAAGAGATCGTAGGCTCTGAATACCAAGTGTTACGAGTGCAATTGAGTGAACGAACGAGAATTGCACTATCGAAGCAAGAATACAATGAGCGAAGGCATGAGCGAAGAATATATAGCGAAACTACAGTGGTAACGGTAATGGACTGTGTTTCTCGTGTGACGGGCCTGGGACTAAGGTTGGGAAAAGTGTCGAAGCGGAGGCCCGGAGCGCGGGTTACTCGCCGAGCCGTGAGGTCGGGGTGCGACGTGCGAAGGTGGCGGGAGGATTGTCGATGCGAGAGTTGCGGGTGGTAACGGTGCTGACTGTGGGGCTACAGTGGTGTACGCGCTGAGCAGGGACACGAAGTAAGGAAAATGAATTTTCCTTACATGCCACAACAATCATGTAATAAAAGTGTTTATCTGTTGCTGATTAAAAAGACTCATGTGTGCCCATATCTACCAGATTTAAATCGAGGAAATATGATAATACGAACATGAATATTTCTATAATTGTGTTTGCACATAAGCACATATGATGATAAGGACTGATATGCTATTAGTTCATATTATTCTGCTGTTCTCTGTTTAGTGTATTTACTACGATCGCTGGAATAAGTCAAATGCTGTGATATTTGAACAGGTGTACCGTGTGCCAAACGGAAAGGTTGCGCGACAACCAGGGAATTGCATTTTGAACGGCTAGTCAATCGAGATTTGGGATGATTAGGTTTGGCGCCGACATTGCTTTGGTCATCTCCATACCATGCTTAGATGGTCTGGCCTCATAATCAGCCAACGGTCTGGTCTGGCTCTGGCACCATGATCCCACCTTGGTGTACTTCTGGTTCGGAGCAGAGCCAAATCGCCAAACAAGCTCCTCCTTACAGGCTCTCTCAACCAATCACATACCACCCGCCCCCCAAATCGGGAGTCGTGACGCCACATTTTCCTTGGGAATCTTCCCGCTTTCGGTTCGGGTGATGTTTGTTGCGTTGGTCTGCTCTGGCCTCGAGTTTCCCAACCGAAATTCTGCAAGAATTTTCTTCCATCAACCATCCCAAACGCACCCCTTTCACACACCCACCCCCCCTCACACACACGCATACACTCTCATCACCCACCCACTCACCCCCCCTCTACCAACAACTGTCCCATCATTTTGTGGTAGCCAAGCATTGTGCGTGCGTAAGTTCAACCCAATTCCTTGGCAGCTTTGCTGAACCTCGATCCTGACGAACCTGTTCGCTGAGCCAGGAAAGACTTTTGACCATCGATTCTCGAAAAACGATCCCCGCATTTCGTAGGACTCTGCCTGTTATCTGCCTCCTCCATAGTTTGCGAGCGGGGAATGTGACCCGGAAGGATGCGCTCTTTCCACTTCTCCACTGCATTGCGAGATCGCGTTGCTAAGTTTAACAGTCAATGGTAGACAGTCCGTGAATTCAACACGAAGCAATGGCGTAGGTGGCTGAGTATCACCCAGTACCCAGCTTGACTTCTCTGAATCGTCCGAATCAGTCCGCAAGTTGTGCGAGGAATCTGGAGCTTGGATGCGCGAATACCACGGATCATGAACTGTGCATGCTTCCGAGGCATATTTGGGAGGTGCGAAACCTCACTTGGACCAGAACCCGTTAGCCATGATGTTCCAAATTCTGAGTCATCTTTGTTCAATCTGTGTATTTTAGCTAGAGCAGTAGTCGAGCAACTGAATTCAGCTGGCTTGCCTATATCCATTTCTGAATCTCTTTCTCTTTCACGTGCAGTTCGTCTTTAAAAGAGCCACCACCTAAGGAGGAGCAGGAGCCAAAGCCTCTCGAAGCTCCGCCTCCTGTTCTCCCCCCTCCTGCTCCCCCACCCCCGCCTCCTCCACCTCCTCCGCCTCCCGCGCCTAAGGCCCCCCCTCCTCCTCCGCTCAAGGCGCCTGGCTTTAACCGCGCGAAACCAGCTGTGCCACTGAAAGGGTTCCACTCAACCAAAGTCCATGATACTGTAGGAACCATCTGGGGGGAAATTGCCAAGGATTCCGAGTTTCTGCGCTTGAAATTAGATGAACAAACGAAGGAGCAACTGCAGGTGGTTTTCCGCGCCAAGGAGGCGAAGGTTAAGATCGGAGGGAGTCAGGTCGCCGGGGGGGGATCAGGGGCGGGGAGGGGTCAGGTAGGGGGAGCGAATGGCGGAGGAGGAGGAGGGGGAGGCAAAGGGGACGGGGTGGTTTGTATCGTGCCCGTGCAGCGGGCGAACAACGTGGCGATCATGTTGTCGCAGTGTCGCATGCCGCACGGAGTGATTCGCGATGCCATCATGGGTGGTAACCAAAAGGGTGTGCTGTCGTTGGAGCGACTGGACCTTCTACAGCAGGTGAAGAAGGGCGAGGAAGTATCGAGGAGAGGCAGAGCGAGAGGGGGTGGCGGGAAAGAGCGAAGGATGGGATGCTTGGGAGGACGTGCGGCAGTGTAGCAAAATTAAGTGACAGAAAGAGCCAGTAAGTCTCGTTCGCTTACATTCTCCCCACCAACCCTTCCCTTCCATCCCTCCCACTCTCCTCTTCATTTCCTTTCTTCGTCACCACTATGTCCTCCCACCAATCCTCCGTCATTTCCACCTCAATTTCATCACCCACACTTCCCCCCCCCCCCCTCTCTTTCTCCCTGACCCTCTTCCCCCGTCTCCCACCATCTCTCCCCCCGTTCCCCCTCCCTCACCCGTCCCCCCTCCCCGTCCTCCCTGCAGGTGATCCCTAATGACGACGAGGTGACCCAGCTGCAGGCGTACACGGGTCCCGTGGACGCTCTCTGCGCGCCCGAGCAGTTCCTCCTCACCCTCGCCTCCATCCCCCGCCTCCGCGACAAGATCGAGGTCAGTCCGCAGTCAGCATCGTGGTAAACAAGGCAGCCAATCAGGATCGAGGTCGGCTAGTCGGCCACTCAGAACCACGGTCGGCTGACAGCAAGTCCGTCAGTTAGCTAATACGTGATGGGATGTAATGGAATGTGCTTCACACGGGATGCTTCCTGCGCCATTCAATCAGGTTGCCGCCTGCAAGCATTCTTCTGCTCTCTGCTCGTTTCACCTTCTGCCCCCTTCAATTAATGCCCCTCTGTGTGCCCGTGTACCGTGTACCGTGTGCCCGTGTGCCCGTGTGCGACCAGGTGCTCGTCTTTATGCTACGATTCGCTGACCTGCACAAGCAAGCGCACACAATCATGGCCACCGTCACACGAGCATGCCAACAGGTTTGCTCCAGTCCCACATGCTGCCAACGAATCCCATCCCCGAATACTCCCTGTTTCCCCTCCCATGCCATGAAACCATGTTTCACACCCTACCTCCCAGCCTCCTGACGCCCACTCTCCCTTCCCACCTTCGTGCTCCTCTCACACGAAACTCTCCCTCTCGTCTCCTCTCCACTTCTTCTACCCTGTCCTTCTTCTCCTCCCCGGGCGTTCGTGCGGCAGGTGCACAGCAGCAGGGCGCTGAAGGCGTGTTTGAAGGTGGCTCTGGAATACGTCAACTTCCTCAACCATGGCACTGCACGAGGTGCGCCAACCCTGCTGTCAACCTGCTGCTGCTGTCGCTGCTGCTACTGCTGCTGCTGTTGCTGCTGTCTCTCCTGCTGTTGCTGCTCCTGCTGCTGATCCCGTATGCCTAGCACGAGACGCCATCAACTACACACGGCACCAGCCGTCATTCCATCAGTCCACTGAAAGCGCATTTACCCTCGTCGCAGTCCCCATGTTTACCCCTTTCTCTACTTTCTGCCCTCCTTTCCCCTGCATCTCCACCCCTCACCCTTGCACAATCACCCTCCAGCCGGAGCCGCTGGATTCAACGTGGAATCTCTGCCAAAGCTCTTCGACCACAAGACCACCGTCACCGTCCCTCCACCCCTTCCTCCCGGCACACCCAAACCCGACTCCTCCAACTCCCTTCTCACCCCAGTCCAGCGCTCTGTACCCCGTTCCCACTCCCACACTGACTCCTCCACCCAAATCAAATCCCCCCCTGGTATCCAGATTCAAATCCCTCCACAAGACCACTCCTCCTCCCTTCCCATCCACCAATCCGCCTCCCTTCCCTCCCTGCACAACCATCCGTCTGCCTCCCAGCCGCCCCCAAACACGCCCCTCCCTGCTGCTGCTCTCGCGCCTGCAGCAGCCGCTCTCTCTCCTAGGCCCATGTCTCCCCGTGCTGCTGCGTTCTCCCCGAAAGCGGTTGCGATGGCAGCAGCAGCAGGGGACGCGGATGCGCTGAGCAGTGCTATTCTGCGCGCGTCCTGCCTGCTGGAGGTGGTTGTGCTGCGCCTCGCTGCCACTGGCATCGTCGCCCCGCCCTTTGAAATGAGCAAGGAGCTCGAGGCTGTGGGGCTCGCTGCTAAGTACTCGCAGGTAGGGGCAGGGCTGGGCGCAGGAGTGGAGGGTGAGGGAGATTAGCGGAGTGAGGGAGCAAGGGAAGAGATTGTAAGGGGGTGGACAAGGAAGGAGGTGAGGTGGAACAAACAACTCACATGGCATATATACGAATTCTGTGAGTGCTGTCCCTGTGTCTGCCCCCTTTTCGGCTCAAGTTTCAACCTCCTATCCCCCCCTCCTTTCCGCCATCCATTCCGTGTCCCTTGTGGCAGGACGAGATAGACTCCTCGCTGACGCCAATGGACCAGGGCATAGGCATAGTGGAGCGAGAACTCGCCTTCCTCATTCGCGATGAGGAAGCAGCAGCAGCCGCAGAGGCAGAAGCCAAGGCGGCAGCTGAAGCTGCTGCTGCTGCCGCCGCCACCGCTGCTGCTGCGGCTGCTGCTGCAGCTGAAGCAGGTGGCGACGTGGTTGCAGAAGCGCCTGCAGGGTCAGAAGCAGCACAAGGGGGTGTGGCGGCAGGGAGGAAAGGGGGTGGTAGTTCAAGGCGAGGTTCGGAGGAGGAAGCAGTGGGGGAGCTGCTGTCGCAGCAGGCAGCAGCGGTGGCTGCAAAGCAGTCGTTACGCATAGGAGCAGTGGAGAGGGAGAGCTGTGACTCGGAACTGAGCTCTGGATCCGTGACTGGTGGGGTTGCAGCGTCGTGTGCGGGGCCCTGCTTTGCCAAGGAGAAAGGGAAGAGGCGGTCGGTGTTTGGGGTGACGTCTCGAGTGAGAGGTGGGAAGAAGGAGAAGGGGAAGGAGGTGGCGGGGAAGGGTCAGGTGGCAGTGCGAGGGGGAAAGGGGCAAGCGAAGGTGCGAAATGAAAAGAGTGCAGTTTCCAAGGGTGAAGAGATAACGAGCGGAGGCAGCACAAACAAAGACGCTGAGTCGAAAGCTCCTGGCGCTGTTGCTGCTGCTGCAGGCCCTGGCCCTCTGCCCACTCTTGTCCCACCTTCACCTCTTGTTGCCCCTCCTCCTCCCCCGCCTCCCCCACCTCCCCCTCTTCCCCCTCCTCCCCCTCCTCCCCAACCCCGACCTCCTCCACGTCTAGCCCAACCACAGCAGAAGCAGCAGGGGAGACAGGAGGCGACAGAAGGGGGCAGGGGTGCTGTGTGCACGTCTGTCAGCCATGTGGAGGGGGGAGTACACCAGGGGGTAAGTGGGAAGCTGAGAGGCGTTGTGGGTGATGAGGCAACGTCAGCTCCTCTTTCTGCTGCGAATTCGGTGAATAGCAGACTCGCTGCGGCAAGTGGTGCTGCCGGTACTGCTGTTGCTGCTGTGGATGCTGCTTCTGGTGCAGCTCCGCTGGCCAAGACAGTGCCACCAGCACCTGGAGTGAATTTCGCTGCTTCGAGCAACGGGTTGAGCACGGGTAAAGCGAACGGCGAGGTGCCATTTGTCGGGAGCGACAGTAAAGAAGGCAGTAGCGCAGAAGCAGGCAGAGGAGGGAAGGGGCGGGGAGGGAGAGGCAGAGGCAGAGGGCGGGGCCGAGGGAGAGGGAGGGGACGAGGAAGGGAAGGCTCAGGCACAAGAACAACAGGGCGGGGATCTGACCTGGTCTCCATAGCACCGGAGGCACGGGCAGAGATGGCAGCAGGAGCAACGCTGAGCTCAGGAATAGGATCCTCTCTAGCAGACACCAAGGCACACGGAGCACAGGGAGAGAAAGCCCCGGCCCTGGGTTCTCGAAGACTCAACCCTTCTGCTTCGTCCTCTGGGCGCGGACCAGTGAAGCCGATGCCTATCCTTCGACTGGGGTCCATTCACGAGCAGGATGAGAATGCTGATCCCACTCCCGCCCCTCCCACTGGTTCCTCCTCCGCTCCTCCTCCTCCTCCTGCTGCTGCCTCCCCGCTCCCTGCTCCTCCACTTTCTCCTGCCCCTCTTCTCACCTCCACAGCTAGTGCTAACCAAGCCCCTCTTGGTGCTAACACGAGTAGCAACAGTAGCAGCCACAGCAGCAGCGGCGGCGGCGGCGGCACCATTGCAGCTGCCTCCACACCTGTGCCGTGCCGCACGAGTCTTGGGGATTGTTCTAACCCGCAGCTTGATGTGACTCCAGGGCAAACCACGACTACTACGCCAGGACTCGCCTTTGGTACGCCGATTGCTGTAGCGCCTCCCTCTGCTGGCTTTACTGGCCAGAGCCGCTTGCTGCGGGCTGCGGGCGGCAGCGGGCCGTTCAGGCTTATGAGCGAGCTCAGAGACTCAAGCAGCAGCGGCAGCAGCAGCAGCAGCAGTGATGGTGGTGACGAAGAGGAGGAGCAGCACGAGGAGCGTGAGAGGACTGGCAATGGCACTTTGGTGCATGGTGCTGATGGTGGGGGGGTGCTGTCTGGCGGGGAAGGGTGGAGTGGTGAGCTGAGTGGTGGGGCAGGGCACAGGTTGGTGCGAGGGGGTGGTGGGGGCGGGAGGAAAAGGTCCACACGGCCTACATGCGTGGTGTACCGAAGAAGTCCGTTTGACGGGGCTATAACCCCTTCCCCAGGCACCAAACGCGCGTGGTCTGAAGGCAATCTGCTTGTTCGGCCCGAATTTCTTCAACGGGGTTCTGCACTGAAGCCAGGGACAGCGGAAACAGGGGCAGGCGGGGCAGCAGGACGGGGAGGAGGCGGGGAGGAGCAGGGGGGATCGGAGGGGAATGTGGAAGGGGAGACGTCTGTCTCTGGGCCCATGCAAAAGGGAGACGATGGAACTGAGGTGACGCAGAATCCGGGCAGTGGAAATGAGGAGGGATGGGAGGAGAAGGAGCAGGCTCCTCGGAAATGCCTGCAACCATTGTTTGGAAATTGCTCCTCTCCCCTGAAAGCTGCGACTGGGAGTTCCAACCACGTGGGCTGCCATGCTGCTGGTGCTGCTGCTGGCAGTGGTGGTGGTGGTGGTGGTGGTGGTGGTGGTGGTGGCGCTGGCACTGAAACCATCGGCAGCAGGAGCAGCAGGCGAGGATCAGGTAGGGGCGTTGTGAGGAGGCACAAGAAGGGCACCAGCGGCAACGCTGCTGCTGCTTTTGGCGGTGGTGCCGCTGGCGTTCGCAGCAGCAGCCGGATCCTCCCCCGCACCCGCAGTGACCCCACTCAGCTTGAAAGTCTCGCCTTTCACGAGTTCCTGATGGAAGCGAGTGTGTCCCGCTCTGCTGCCTGTGAGTGTGGTGGCGGCCTGTGTGCGTGTAAGGGAGGTCACAGTAAGAGGAGGAGGGGAGATGGGCCGCGCTCTCTGCTGGCACATGGAAGTCGCAGCGTGTCTGTCACAGAAACAAACCTTCGTGGTAGGGCCTACTCTGCTGTCGCCTCTGCTGTCACCTCTGCTGCCGCCTCAGCTGCTGCTGCTGCGGCTGCTGCGGCTGCGGCTGCTGCTGGTGCTACTACCTTGTTCCAAACACCAGCTCCTGCAGCTGCAGGACGAGCAGGAGCATCAGCAGTAGTGGAAAAGGCTACAGGCGAGGCAGCAGCAGCAGCAGCAGCAGTAGGAGCAGAAGCGGAAGCAGCAGAAGCAGAAGCGAAGCCACTGCAGCGGCTGCAAGTGGCACAAGAGCTTGAACGCCTACTGAGGACCCCACCTCCCTCTGCTGCTGCTGCTGCTGCTGCTGCTGCTGCTGCTGCTGCTGCTGCAGTCGCCCCTGCTGCATCTACTGATTCTTATGCTGTCACTAGCATCTGCTCTGCTCCGCCTGGAATGCAGATAATGAGCAGGTATGGTACAGAGGACGTGGAGTATGGTGAAGAGGCGTGCAGTGCGTTGGTGGGAGTGGGGGGTGATGAAAGCGAAGGGGCGGTGGAAGGGAGAGAGGGAGTGGGGGGAAGGAGAGGGGGAGCGGGGGGCATGAGGGAGGTGAGAACGTCTGGCAAGTTGAGGATCAAGGTGCCAGCGAGAGAGGGGTGTGATGCGGTCGAAGGAGGTAGGGCAGGCGAAGGGTCTGGAGGTGGGACGACTGAGGGGCCAGAGCTGAGAGGTGTGAAGGGGAGTGAGACCGATGATGGTGCTGGTGATGGCTCTGGCAGTAGTGGTGTGTTGGAGGAGGGACGGGAAGGCGTTCGCAACCTTACCTCTCAGCAAGGGAAGGAAGCAATTGAGGGAACTGAAGAGATCAGGGGGACTGCAGCAGAACGAGCAGAGGAGGAGGAGGAGGAGGAGGAGGAGGAGGAGGAAGAGATGGGGGAGGAGTGTGACGACGAGGATGGCGACGAGGAGTGGGATGAGGAATGGGATGACGAGGAGGAAGAGGAGGAGGACGACGAGGAGGAGAGGGACGATGCGTCGACAGAGGAGGGCCGCCGGGAGCTGTCGCTGTGCGAGCACCTGACAGCGTTCTTGGACAAGGCGCGCCCGGAGAGGGAAAAGCTAGCGGAGGAAGCAGCAAGTTGCAGGTATGGACGATGGCTTGCTACTTACTGTGTGTGCCAAAGACTTCTGTTCTGCCCCCTGAATTTCCCCGCTCTCTGGCACCTAACTTGCATTTGGATCCTCCTGGTCATGTCCTGGTGCTGTGCGTGCCTGCGTGTGTGCACGTGTGCATGTGCTTGTGTGTCCATGTGTCCATGGGTGCATGTGTCTAATTTCTCAGGGAGCAACTCAAGGCTCTCGCGAAATATTTCGGGTCCTCACCAACTGTAACACCACAGGTATGGCTCGTGAGCTCTGCCTCTAGACTACTAGTTTCTTTCCAGAATTCCCAGTACCCCCCTCCCCTCCCTCCCCTCCCCTTCTTGACCGTTCTGGTCACTCACTCGCAGTAGGTGTTGCATGCATGATGTGGCGCGACATGCTGCTTCAAGAACCAATCTGGTTGCATGCATGCAATTTCATCTTGTTGCTCTGCTGTGCTGCAGGCTGTGCTTGGGATCATCTGGCAGTTTGCTCTGCTCTACGACAAGAGCCAGCGCCTGAGTGGCCTTCTCTGACTGCCTTGCTCTGAGGAGCTATTACATTCGCATGATCTGATTTTAGTGCCTCATTATTCTTGTTGATCATAAACAAATATTCAGGCAGAATTACTCTTGTCATTCTCCTACTTCCTACCACATCCTACTAACAGGGCATTGGTAAGAAAAAATAAGCTGGCAGTTTATAGCATTCTAATGTAGAGATGGGGCATTGGGCTAAGCTTACTACTAACATCACTCCTAACTGGTAGGACACTTTAGAGCTAAATACAGGTACAAACCCAAATGTTACCCTTCATCAGTCCACGTATATATCACACACAGTGAAACACGCGGCAAAGCGCGCCACTCTTCTCCATCCATCCCAATTCCTCTCACTAAAATCCTCTCCACCACTCTCCATTCCCTTCGCTCACACCTCTGGCGGGGGCGCATCCTTGCTGCTCACATCCCCTGTTCTCCCTGCCTCTCTGATTCCCCAGAAGCTGCTCACGCTCCCGCTCCCCATGCTCCCAGTGTTCATCGACGTGAGCACACTCACCATCGTCTCACTGATCCGCTTCTGCTCCTGCATCCGCTCCTTCAACTCTGCATCCACCACCTTGTGAGACTTGTGCACCGGCTCCTCGCCACCGCTCACCTCGGATCGTAGAGCCTCCATCTCCTGGGCGATGCGGGCCATGGAGGGGCGGTCGGCAGTGAAGGTGGCAGTGCAGTGCATGGCCAGGTCTGTGATGCGCTGCAGGGCGCCTGGGGGAGCGGGGCCCATGCGCGGGTCTGTGATTGTCTCCGCTGACCCCTTGCTCAGCTTCTCCCGGACCTGTGGTGGAGTGGGGTGGGAAGAGGTGGGACGTGGTGGAAGGAGGTAAGGAGGTAGAGAAAGGAATCTTGCTCAGGGTGATGGGTTTGGGTGGGGAGCAGGACGGTAGGGGGAAACAGGGGGAGGAGAGGGAGAGAGAGCAAGAGAAGAAAGCGGAGAGGGAGGGGGGGGGGGGGGGAGCCGTGCGTACCCAGTCTAGGATGTATGTAGCAATCACTTTTGGGAATTCACATTCTCAAACGTGCGTACCCATTCGAGGAGGAAGCAGGAGCGGCCGTTATCGTCAAAGTTGGCATGCTTTCCCGTGAGCACTACCAGCATGAGAATACCGAAACTGTAGCACCCATGCACATGTGCACACCCACACACATGCGCATGCACATGCACACAGAACAAACATATGCACGCACGGAGAGATGCACGAGCACACATCGCACAAAAGGGATCGAAAACGTGTGGTCCCGTTAGTGAAGCGGATTAGACTTTTGGTCCAGTTAGCGCAGCGGAGCGGATTAGCAGACCGATTTGCCAAGCGTCTGAAGGGCGTCTGGTACACACAAAAACACGAGCAGTACACGAGCAGTACACGAGCGTCTAGTATGTCAAGCACATGCCCTGGATAACACTAAAGCAGAGAAGCTCATCAAAGTTGAACACTGAAGGGTGACTGGGTGGCTGGAACGACTCAGCACCTGTACACATCAGTGGCAGGAGTGGCCTTCTGCGTGCGAGAGTAAGCCGGGTCGACGTAGCCTGGTGTGCCCATCACCCGTGTGGCTTGCACGGTGGTGCCCCCCTCCACTCGCACGAGACCAAAATCAGCCACCTTGGGCTGTAAGAGAGGTGGTGATAGCGGCATGTATGGGTGGGTGGGTGTGCGGGTGGTGATTGGATGGATGGACCAAACAAGACAGAAGAAAATGCTACAGCTTCTTGACTGGCTCTTCCACTGCGCTGCCTTCCACCTACTGCTCACCTGCATGTTGCTGTCCAGCAGGATGTTTGCGGGCTTGATGTCGCGATGCACGATGTCAAAGCCATGCAGGTACTCGAACCCGCGCGCTGCTCCCACTATCACGTCCAGCCGCTGCTTCAGCGTCAGGGGCGCGGGGGCGTCTGCACAGCCGTGCACAGTGCACATCAGAATGCAGGAGTGAATAAGGAAGGAGAAGAGCGGACGTGGTTTGTCATAGGATGTTTGGTTGCTGTGTCGATGCCGGGCGTGAGTAGGTGTCGATTCCGTGGGCAGTGAGGGGCGAGGAGAGGAGAGAGGGCGAACTGCATGTAGAAACATCATCATCCCACCTCACATCTCTCCAATCTTGAGGACCCAACCCACCCCCAGATCCCACCCACCTTTGCCGAGCCACTTGTCAAGATCCCCATTGGGGATGAACTCGTAGACGAGGATCTGCTCGATGCGCTCCCGCAGGTCCCCACACGTGGCGTAGCCCAGCAGGCGCACCAGGTTGGGGTGGTGCTTCGTTGCCATCTCGCTCACCTGCGGAGGGTGGTGAGCCGGGAAGGGAGGGTGAGTGGATGGGGAAATTGTGGCGGAGAGCGATGAGGGAGGGGAGAGAACGAAGAATATGGGTGAACTCATCTCTGAAGAAGATGAATCAACCCAAATCTAGGGATAAAAAAGAGAGGGTGGGACGAATCACGCACGCACCTCCCGCTGGAAGTCGTTGGTGATGACTTTGGCACGCTTCACAGCCCACAGCGTGACACCATCGTCGGGCGACACGCCCTTGAAGACATCTCCGAAGCCCCCCGACCCCAGCAGGTTGGCATCAGACCAGTTGTTGGTGGCCTGCGCCATCTCCTTCATCGTATACTCCACACACACGCCCTTCGCTAGTGCGCCTGCATCACAAGGGAGGGGAGAGAATGAAGAAAATGGATGAAGCATTTGGCAATGTCCATGTGGTGGTGGCAGTGGCGGCGGCGACTTTTGAGACGTTTCAACGTCCATGTGGCAGCGGCGGCGGCGGCGGCGGCGGCGGCGGCGGCGGCGGCGGCGGCGGCGGTGGTGGTGGTGATGGTGATGATGCAAGTGACGGCGATGACAGGGATACGGGGAGGCTGTGAGCCGTGACACGGGATAGCTTCAGAACGTTGGGCTCTTGAGATGCGAGTCGACTTGTACGTATATGTGCATGCGTATGTGTATGTGCATGTGTATGTGCATGTGTATGTGTATGTGCATGTGTATGTGCATGTGTATGTGCATGTGTATGTGCATGTGTATGTGTATGTGTATGTGTACCATAGCTTTTGGGTCACCTTAGCTTCAGAACGCTGGGCTCTCTGCAGAGTCCGTGCAGACTCTCAGCCAGAAAAAAATAGACCATCTCTGTCTCAACTCAACTCAACTCAACGAGCATGCCTTACCGAAGCGAGAAACCTTGTTGTTCCTCCTCTGGAGGTAGAAGAGGGCTCCACCCAGCAGCGCCAGCAGCAGCACCACCACCCCACACACGATGCCAATGATTGCCCCCGTTGACAAGCCGCTGCTGCTGGTGGTTGCAGGTGCTGGTGGTGGCGAGGGGTCTAACAGGGGGAGGACATGGACGCAGGGAGAGAGTGGAGGTGGGGAAAGATGGGGAAAGATGGGGAAAGATGGGGAAAGAAGGGGAAAGATGGGGTATGATGGGGTATGATGGGGTATGATGGGGTATGATGGGGTATGATGGGGTATGATGGGGTATGATGGGGTATGAGCCTTGCGCAAGTGCGAGTTTGAGTGGCCCACACATACACACAGACCCACGACTCACTCACTCACTCACTCACACACTCACTCACTCACTCGCACACACGCACCTTTGCAGTTGATGCAGAGGCCTGGGGGCGAGCAGGACTGGCAGAAGCTAGGGCAAAAATTGCAGAAGGCCGTGACAGCATCCTGATTCACCACGCACACTCCGTTCTTTGCACACTTGGGGCCCACTGTCGCACTGAGAGGCGCAACCGAGCTGGAGAGGGCCAAGAGAGGAGGGGGGGGCGAGGAGAGGGAGGGGGTGGCGGGGAGAGGAGGGGGCAGCGAGGAGAGGAGGGGGCGGCGAGGAGAGGAGGGGGCGGCGAGGACAGATGCTTCTATATTAGCAGCAAGCGAGCAAGACGGCGAGCAAGAGAGAGCAGCTTTTGGAGAATCCAGTGAGCAAGGGCCATGGCAGCACCAGCACGCTTGCATGCGCTGCGCCATGCATGGTAGTGTGGGCAGTGAAGGGAACATATGCCGCTTTTGGGTTATTGACGAGGATTACTGGATTCCAGAAGTGGAGAGTGGATGGATGAAAAAACACAGACTCCTTCACAGCACAGCAGAGAAGGAGCGTTACATCTCAGCAAGTCTTGTGAGGTTGCCCATGGCTGCTGGAATTGTCCCGACCATTGTTGTGTGATCCAAGAGGCTGGGAGTGAGGGCGAGAGGAGGGGACGGACAGCACAGCAGCGCAGAAGGATAAGAAAGGAGAAGGAAAGGGAAGAGAGGGGAAAAGAAAAAATAAAAAGGGAAGAAATGGAAATGAAGGTGGAAAACGGGGGAGAAGGGGGAGGGGGTAAAAAGGGGAAGAAGAGCGCAGGCTAGCACATGTGAGTGATTTCTAAGAATTCTAAAAAATCACTCAGAAGAAGAGCGCAGCCTAGCACATGTGCTTTTGTGGAAACTCGACACGTTGGGGACTTTTTGAGACCTTGAAGGGGCAATTGAGGCGCAGGCACGCCAACAGCAGTTTGGATTGAACGGAGCTTACAAATGCCGTAGATTTGTCATCTGGCCCAGGAATGCGGGAAGGGTGCCTGTGAAGTTGGTCTCGCCGATCTGTTTTGAGACGTCTCAAAACACTTCTTCAATCACGTCGCCAACAGCAGTTTGGATTGAACTGAGCTTACAAATGCCGTAGATTCGTCATCTGGCCCAGGGATGCAGGAAGGGTGCCTGTGAAGTTGGTCTCGCCGATCTGCCTGGAGAGGTGCAATGGCAAGCAAGCAGGTGGGTAGAAGAAGGACGAAGGCTTTTGTTGAAAGGTGCCTCGCCTCGAAAATAGGGTGCCTGTGAAGCTGGTCACGCTGATCTGAGTTGACTTTTGAGTCGGCTCAAAAGTCGCCTCGAAAGAGAGGTGCCGGTGAAGCTGGTCACGCTGATCTGACCGGAGGTGTAGTGGCAAGGCCGTGGAGGGACGGATGAATGAGCAAAACAGAAAATGAGGCGAATGGAGGGTATGACGCGGTTGATTGAAAAGATGATGGTCTGGTGGTGGCACTGGTGGTGGTGATGATGGTGTGGTGTGGTGGCATTTCAGTAGCAAAAGTGTGGTGGAATGGAATGAAAGCTGGGGTGTGCGCGTTTTCCAGTCAGGTGGGTTGCATGTAGAATGCACAAGTAAGGAGGTGATGCTCGGGTGCATGACAGAGTTGCCGTTTCAAGGTGTGTCCAGTCCACTCAAAGGCATAAGAGCATAGAGAGGGCTACAGAGAAAGCGTGCATCCATGTCCGCATGCATGGCAGTCGCATGGCAATGCATGGCAGTCACATGAAACATGCACGGCAACGCATGGCAATGCATGGCAGTCGCATGAAACATGCACGGCAACGCATGGCAATGCATGGCAGTCGCATGAAAGATGCACGGCAACGCATGGCAATGCATGGCTCACAGAAAAGTGAGGCGAGACAGGCGTGTGATGGAGTCCGGAAAAGAGCCTGACACAGCGTTGCTGTATAATGATCTGCATGCAGGCAGGCAGGCAGAAATAGCAAGGGCGTTGGTGACTTAGATGGATGCATGGACGGATGGATGGACGGATGGATTAATCATGGATGGATGGACGGATGGAGGGCACATCCAAAGAGGGTGGAGGTGGAGGAGTGTGGGTTGCAGCAGCAGGCAACACAAATACGAATACTAACAGGCATTACATTGACTTTAGAGAATTCTCAAAAGTGATTCTCAGATATGAATACTGACAGGAATTGCAGTGAGGTGACGTTTGTGAGGGGGTTGATGGGGCCGCTCAGACGATTGTACGCGAGATCCCTGTAGGAATGGGGAGAATGTGTGCATGTGTGCACGTGTGGGTGTGGGCCACACTCTGCTACACTAGACAGATGCTGGTAGAGGCGAGGGGGTGAAACCCTAACTTTCATTTGGATCCTCCCGGTTATGTGCAAGTGCCGTGCCTGCCTGCATGTGTGCATTTGCGCGTGTGTGCATGTGTGCATTTGCGCGTGTGTGCATGTGTGCATTTGCGCGTGTGTGCATGTATGCATGTGCGCGTGTGGGTGTGGGCACCACTCTGTTACACTAGTAAGATGCTGCACCATAGCCATGCGTTTACTGCACCGTGTTGTACGTACATGAAAGTGACCTTGGAGAGGTGGGATAAGGTGGCGGGTATGTCGGGTCCTATTTGATTGAAGGCCACTTGCCTGTCGCGGACAGAACAACACGCACGCATGCATGCATGCATGGACGCACACACGCACACACAAATGCACACGCACACATGCACACGCACACATGCACACGCACACATGCACACACACAACACATGCACGCTCGCGGCTCGAACGTTTACATGAAGGCGCGCAACATGCACATTTGGAAAACATAATCCGGCATACGAGATTTGCGGTCGCTAGCTCCAAATAGCTGGCATGGCATGGAATGGCATGTGTAAATGCGAGGTAGGCAAGGTAAGAGATAGGTAGGTACGATGTCGGGTGGGCACGGTGATGCGGTCATGGAACATGCTGGTGTGAGAGAGAGTAGGGAAGGGGCGTGCAGGTGACAGGCCAGTGAGAAACGGGTGCCAGGCAGGTGAGGTGAGGTGAGGTGAGGTGAGGTGAGGTGAGGTGAGGTGAGGAGAGGTGAGGTGTGGTGGAGTAGAGTGAGGTTCTCACATGTACTCGAGTTTTGAGAGTGTTGAGAGGGCAGAAAGCGCGCCTTCAAACGAGTTGTTGAACACGTTTCTGTGCACGCACACAACACAAGGGAGTTGATTCTTGAAACCCCCTAGATGTTGACTCCCACACACGTTGACTCCCCTAGATGTTGACTCCCCTAGATGTTGACTCCCCTAGATGTTGACTCCCCTAGATGTTGACTCCCCTAGATGTTGACTCCCACACACGTTGACTCACCTAGACTTGACGTTGAGTGGTGACATCCGCTCACACTACCCAGAGAGCTTGTACCCCCGACCCAGCAAGACAAGGCCCACATGACAAAGCAAGCAACACTTGGGAGAGGAGAGGAGAGGAGAGAAGAGGAGATGAGAGGAGAGGAGAGGAGAGGAGTGGAGAGGAGAGGAGAGGAGAGGAGAGGAGAGGAGAGGAGAGGAGAGGAGAGGAGTGGAGAGGAGAGGAGAGGAGAGGAGAGAAGAGGAGGGTGTGCAGGGCGCACATATACTCCAGTGATACCAACGGGCTGAACGTGGTCAGCGGCGCAGGGGGCACCGCGCATCTCTCCAAGACTCTGTACGTTCCATCTCCATCCCACAGGCAGCACAGGCAGCACAGGCACGACAGGCAGCACAGGCAGCACAGGTGGCACAGGTGGCACAGGTGGCACAGGTGGCACAGGTGGCACAGGTGGCACAGGTGGCACAGGTGGCACAGGCAGCACAGGCAGCGCAGGCAGCACAGAAGTTGGGAAGCAAGGTTCCTGTGTTAGGGTGACAGGTGCAGTGCATCCTCTCTCGAACGGTCCTTGTCATTGTATCGAGTGAACGTTACAGCAATGGCAAGTAAGAGACGCAAAGGCTAGTATGTATGGCACACACGACAGTGCTCCACTGCAATCCCTCTGTCTGTCTCTCCATCCCTCACATCTGTTTGAGTTTGGTAAGGGCGGAAAGGTCCTGGATTTTATCCAGTCTGTTGCTCGTTAAGTCCCTGCTCACATACGCAATCGTAACAGTGTGGATGAGCAAGCATGCGCGCAGAGGCCCGGCTAATCAAGATTTGTGAGCTGAGTCAAGAAAGAAATGCAGGAGAGCAGAGGCGGACGTGGGTGCAGTCTACAGGGAAGAGGGACGCAGGTGGAGTGGTGGACTTGTGAGTCGACTCAAAAGTCACCTCTGGCTGATGTGATGTGATGTGGGTGTATTGTCGAGGGAAGAGGAGCGCGGGTGCAGAGGGTGGGAGGGAGGTGCCTCGCAGCCAGGAGCAAGCAGAGCATGCATGAGTGAGTGACTGTGACGGCATTGTGCAGCAGCCGTATATTGCATGTGCTGCGGGGTAGTAGGGTGTGTGGGGAGTGTGTGGGGAGCACGTACAGGACTTCTAAATCTCGCAGGTTGGATATGCCTGGCGACAATGGTGCCCTGATTGTGTTATAACTCATGTTCCTGCCACCACCCCCAGCACAGCACAGAACGGCACCCCACCGCACAGCACAGCACAGCACAGCACCGCACCACACCGCACGGCACAGCACAGCACAGCAACGCACAGCACCGCACCACACCGCACACAGCCCAATGTGTATGGCAGCTTCAGACGCTGTCTACTTCAGCTTTGATCACAGGCTCAACAGGCATGTCAAAGGTGGAATGGACTGGGCGGCGTGGGCGTGGCACAAGAGAAGAGGAGAGCGGTGCTTACAGGTAGGTGAGGGAGGTGAGGGTCATGACGACATCAATGGGCTGCTTCAGAGAGTTGTAGCTCACATCCCTGCCAGGACCATGGCAGTGTTGGGGTGGATGGGTGGGTGGGTTGTGTGGGCGCGCGCCGTGTGTCGTGTTTTGAGTCGACTCAAAACAGGTAGGTGAGAGAGGTGAGGGTCATGACAACATCGATGGGCTGCTGTAACGAGTTGCAGCTCACATCCCTGCCAGGACCATGGCAGTGTTGGGGTGGTTGGGTGGGTGGGGTGTGCGCGCGCGAGCGTGTGTGTGTGTTGGGGGGGGGGGAGGGGTGTGTGTGTGTGCGTGCGTGCGTGCGTGTGTGTGTGTGTGTGTGTGTGTGTGTGTGTGTGCATACAGGGACTGCAGAAGAACGAGGTTGCTGAATGAGTCTGGAATGGTGCCCGTGAGAGAGTTGTATGCCATACTCCTGCTCATGCACTCACAATCACACACACACACTTGACAGCCAGCCACACAACATAACCAGGACCATAGCAAGCAGCAGCAGAAGCAGCAGCAGCAGCAGCAGTAGCAGCAGCAGCAGCAGCAGCAGCAGGAGGAACAGCAGTAGCAAGTGTGGTGGCAGCAGATAACCATGCATATAAAGGGTACTCAAACGTAGCTCCACACGACACACCTCTACCTCTGGGCGTGGCCCATTACTGAGCGTGCCGGTATGGGGATAGGCAACGCATGGGCATGGGGATGGGCATGGGCATGGGCGTCGCATGGGCACGGCAGGCACAAGCGGGGAGAATGCAGAGAGGGTCAAGCAGAAACAGGAAGGAGGATGTACACTCACAGGTAGGTTAGAGAAGTGATGTTGGCAATGTCTGCAGGTATGGTGGCCTGTGCGTTATTGGATAGTCCATCCAGCAGCCTGCTCCCCGCTCCAGCAACAGCACGAGGAGACGTTGAGAGAGAAAGAGGGAAGTGGGGTGCAATGGTTTTCAGGGAGAGCAGTGCAGGCTTGAAATGGTCACCTGGCATTTTGCAGGCGATTGCATGCAGAGACACAGCGATAGCATGCAGAGACAGAGTGATAGCATGGCAGTGACATGGATCATACTTACACCATGCTGGCTTGGCACGGACATGGGGTGGAGGGGAGTGGGCATGGATGGACATGGGCGTGGCTGCGCTTACATGGAGATCACTTCCCCCTGGTCGTTGCACAGGAGGATATCCGGGGCGGTTTCGCATGTGATGGATGCTAGGTTGTCGTTGGCCCATCCTGACGCTAACGAACCCAACACCCCCTCTGCACTCGCAGCATGGCATGGCATGGCATGGCAAGGCATGGGGTCGGGTTGGGTGGCATGGCATGGCATGGCATGGGATGACATGGGATGACATGGGATGACATGGTATGACATGGCATGACATGGCAGAGCCGATATACACATCACACACATGCTCGTGCACACATGCACAAGAGCACGCACACACACATACACGCGTGCAGACGCGCGCACACACACACACACAGATTCACGCACGCACGCACACGCGCACACACACAAGCTCGCTCGCATATACACACACACACACACAAACGCACGCGCACATGCACACACATGCACATGCACGTGCACGAACGCGCACACACAGAAGCACACGCGCATACACAGCCATGAACACGCACACGCAGACACATATATGCAGCAGACACGAAGGCGCGAAGCAGGGAAGGCGCCGTGATACGTGGAAGGCAGGCTGGAAGGTGGGCAGGAGGCATGTTGGTTGTGCAGCATATTGATGAAGGGACCTGAGAAAGCAGCAATGCCACACATCATGGGCCATGCCTCCTTCATCCCTCCCTCTCGCACATTGGAGGAACGCATTGCACCGCACAGCACATCACGGCACACCAGAGCACAGCACAGCACCGTGCCGCTCCACAGCACCACACGGCACAGCACAGTACCACGCACAGCACATCAAAATCACAGCGCGCCGGTACCTATCGGGCTGTTATTCTGCCCCGAGACACAGCGACTGCCTGCCACGAGAGCAGCGAGCAGCAGCACCGTTACGAGCGCGCTGCGACGCAACCGCGCCATAGCGACTGAACGCGGACACCAACGTGGACACCCCAAGGCGACGAGACGGGAATATCGAAACCGAAATGGCCCGTTGTCGCGGTGAATGCACCGTTCGAAGCTGGATCGCCGGCTGCACTGGCGCTATATCTTAAATTGCTCGCGCCGTGCCGTTTTGCCTTCCAACGACGGCAGTAACGGACTTCAAACGCGCGTACTACACGGCTTTGAAGAGGAGCAATCTACGCTTTTGCGTATTCCACGTCGTTGCGGTAAACGGGGTGGCTAATCCCCAGGCCTTGCGGATACTGAATACCGAGTGTGGCGTGACTAGTGTGACAAACAGATACTGTCTCTCTTACCCTATAACAATAAATCTCCCCGCCCATATTTCGCTTCGCAGACTCTGACTTGCATCTGCTTGGTTTCCCCAAGCCTGAAACCGCACGTTTCCCTGCTTCCTCCCATCCCCACGGATGTCCCTTGCGCTGTCGCAAACGACATATAATTGCGGTCCTCGACATTGGCCGTGAAGGACCGAGAAGAAACGTACCAAACCTCTTCTTCCCGCATCGCTTTTTCCCTGGCGGGGGAAGTTTTCAGACAGAGTTCTGCTGGGTTCTATAATCTTGAGCATGTCAGGGGGAAATGGAGTTCCGCAGCTTCCCCGAACCAAGACGCTGCCGTCCGATAGGTCGGTGATGGGGTTCGTGCTGGGAGGGGATTTCCATACCACAGATAAGAGCCAGAAACGTTAGGTTTGTCAAACCAGCGAATGTGCTCCCAGGTTGGGACAGGTCTAGCAGCGTCCAAGTTTGGAAACCCAGGCTGCATACTCTAAGGAATTTTTCGGATTCCTTGTCTGGTCACACTGTACGCGTACAACCCCGACTTTCGGAAAACCAGGCTCGGTCCGCCGACCTCGCCTTCCGAGCCACTACCGCGTCGCTTTCGGGTTTCCCAACCCCGAACCTGCACCCAACCATCTCGCGACCCTGCGACCTCGGCCTAGCTAGCTTCGCTATATTAGTCCTAGGCCTCGTTGTGTTCTCAGACGTTGTAATCAATTCCGCATTATTGAGTTCTGCGCACTCTTCCTTTCACAACTCATAACACCTGGTATCAGAGCCTAATTTCCTAGGTTACCCTCATGTTTCCGGGGTAGTTTGTAGAAGGGGAGCGATAGACTTGGTGGGCTGTTAAGCGGTCGGCCCGTGGAATAGATCCGATTATTCCATTCCGACTACGATAGCATTAACGCCTTCACCGAAGTCAGAAAAATCGCTAAACACCCACTGCCCGTTAGACGAAGCCTGCGACACATGGACCAGGCGGAGTTCAACGAGTTCATGCAACAGTTCCGGATGATGCAGGCCAACATGCAGACGATGTCTGCAGAAATGGCGCGTCTTCGGGAGGAAAACGCCGAACTACACCAGGCGCGTGGTGAAGCGCGCCAGGAGTCGCCTGTCGTGGACGACGCAAGTAGCAGCACTGCACCAGAAGAGCGGGTCTGGAGCGAGCTGGAAGGCGAGATGGATGCGGACGAGGCGAGGCAGGCGCAGCAGCAACAGTCACCGCAACAGTCGCGTGCAGCACCGACACGTGCAGCGGCGACGACGACGGCGACGCCGGCAGCAATGCCAACGGCCCCGATGGCAACAACGGCTTTTGTTAAAATCAAGCCGACAAACCCGCCCCCGTTTAACCCAAGTGACAAGTTCGTCACTGTTTCTGCATGGTTGTTCGGCGTGGAGGTGTTTTTCAATGCTGCCATGATTTATGACGATGCCACCCACATTAATTTCGCAGTTTCACTGTTGCGAGGACCTGCGCTGGAGTGGTGGAGGCGAACGCTGCAGCACGAAGGGACTTCGGCAGGAATAGCACGTGCGAACGACGGGACTTCAACACCTGTCACGCATCAGGCAGCATCAATTTTTGGGACGGCTACGATACGCACATGGAGGGAGTGGGGCGCCGCCTTGCGAACCAGGTTCGAGCACATATCCGCCTCGGACTCTGCTCGCATGAAGCTACGTGCCTGGAAGCAGCTGACTTCGGTCCAAGACTACACCAGCATGTTCTGCAACTTGGCGGACCAAGTGGACGACATGAGCGATGCGGAGCGGTTGGATCGCTACGTGGCGGGCCTAAAATACGAGATACAGTATGAGGTCCGAAGAACCCGGCCACGCAGCTTCAACGACGCCGTCCAAGAAGCCGAGTCAACGGATGCGCTGATGCAGTGGGCGAGATCGAGCTCCCGGGAGGGCCCTCGACTTCGTGGATCGACTCAGCAGCCCACGATCAACGGCGTGGATGCACCAAGCCGTGCCCTTGGGCCGTGCTTTTTATGCAACCAGCTGGGCCACCTGAAAAAAGACTGCCCGAGGCTTAAGCAGGGGAAGAAGAACGACGGAGAAGGGTCGGGAAAAGATACGAGTCAGTAGCAGAAGGGCCACCTACTGACGAGACCCTGTCGCCCGACAATCACCATCCACACCGGGTCGTGGTACCGATCAGAGCTATCGACCAGAACCGGACGAATAACGTGGGTGAACACGTGGACTACCCTGTGCTGGTGGTAGGGAGGGTTAACGGTTATAAAATAAAAATATTCGTTGACGGTGGGGCGAGCCACAGTCTCGTCAACCTGGCAACGGCCAAAAAAATGGGGGTGAAGCTGACTAGGTGTCTGCCGGAGATTGACGCAAGGCTGGTGGACGGGACACCACTGGCCATCCGAGATGAGGCGCGAAGAATTCGGATACAGTGTGGCGATAAATTCGGGTTTGGCATGAAGATGTTGGCGACGACGTTGGACGGCTGCGATGTGCTATTGGGAAGAGATTGGCTGCAGCGGTTCAATCCGACGATCGACTGGACAACTCGGGCGTGCGTCGTGCGAGGATACGGAGGGAAGACGACACTTCCGAAATGGACGGAGCCGGAGCCGGTGACGACACGTGTCAACGCGGTCAACATGGCGCGAGCGATGAACAGCGGAGCTCAAGCCTTCTTGGTGCACCTGTACGAGGTGACAGCTTCCGAGAAAATCGCGGACATCGACACCCTCTGCGCAGCAGTCCCCGAGGAATTGGCGAGCATTATTCGGAGGTATCCCAAAATTTTCGCGGACGACCTCCCGGACGGCTTGCCCCCCCAACGACCTGAGGATCATCGGATCCAGCTGGAGCCCGGCGCGCAACCTACTGTTCGGACACAGTGGCGGCTCAGCCAACCAGAGCTCGCCGAGTTGCGGGCCCAGCTGGATTACCTGCTCGCCAAGGGATTTATCCGGGCAAGCACGTCGCCGTTTGCAGCGCCGATACTGTTTACACCAAAAAAGGACGGGGGCCTACGCATGTGCATTGATTATCGGGCGCTGAATCGGGTCACAATAAAATCGCGTTACCCGATCCCGCGAACCGACGATCTGCTGGATCAACTTCGCGGAGCCCGGTATTTCTCGAAAATCGACCTGCGAGGAGGCTACCACCAAATTCGCGTGTTCGCCGATGACTGCCCGAAAACAGCTTTTCGCACACGCTACGGCAGTTACGAGTTTACGGTGATGCCGTTCGGACTGACAAACGCGCCCTCAACATTCCAGCTCACAATGAACGGCATTTTCCGGGACATGCTGGACAAGAAGGTCATCGTGTATCTGGACGACATCCTGGTGTACAGCGCGACAAAAGAGGACCATCTGCGGGATTTAGAGGAGGTGTTCCGGCGTTTACAGGGGCATCGGCTGATTACGAAGGGGTCTAAGTGCGAGTTTCTGAAGCCAGAACTGGAATTTCTGGGGCATGTGGTTTCTGGCGAGGAAATCAAAATCGACCCGCGTAAAGTGGACGCCATCGTTAAGTGGAAGCCGCCTTCTAATATCCCTGAGTTGCAAAGTTTTCTGGGGTTTGTTAACTACGTTCGCCGTTTTGTACCTAATATGGCAGGGATAACCAAGCCGCTGACCGACCTGCTGCACCACGACAATGATTTCAGGTGGGGGGAGAGGGAGCAGTCCGCCTTCGACGCCCTCAAAAACATTTTGGGTTCGCCCCCGGTACTCCGCCTCGCCGACCCATCTCGACCGTTCGAAGTCGTCACGGACGCCAGCGATTTCGCCGTCGGCGGCGTCCTGCTACAGGACTTCGGCCAAGGGCTGCAACCCATCGCCTACGAGTCACGCAAGATGCAGCCACCCGAGCGCAAC